TCAGAAATAACTGAATTTCCAGCTTTTCTTTGATGGAAAGCCTGTGGATCTCATTCATATAAATAAATTTCTAGCAAATAAATATTGCAGTAAATCTCAAGCACGATTTCACGAGGATTTACTGCAGTACTTGTCTGATCCATGAAACAAACTCATTAGAAATCCTGCGGCAATGATTGAATTTTAAATTAATCAAATACAGGTGGACTAAAGGAAATTCAGGGGATCCAAAAAGTTCGTTGAAGAGAACCTCTAAATACGGTCTATAATAAGGGTTAAGACCCCTCTGGGACCAAGAAAAAAATTTGTTATACTGTACACTGTACAGAGAAAATCGTTGTAGAGAGTTTCTAACCTGTTGAAACACTTGTCTCAAAGACAATCGACAGTTAGAAAGCTGTGTAAAAATATTTTCATGCTAAATTCTTATTGATGCGGCGGAAATTGTGGAAAAGTATTCCAGTATTATCAATCGAAGGTTAAAACACGGAGGATTCTGATTTCGCTTCGAAGGAATTTGACGATTTCGAAGAAAATCTTGCGTCTTGATTTCTCAAGCGAAATGTTCTCCTTTGCTCAATCCCAAGAAAATCTGCAAGATGTTCACATCTCTGGATAGATGATTTCTTTCGAACGAGTACATCCTCACATTAGTGCGGGTTTTACGTAAATTTGCCCGTGTCCTTAATAATTATATTGTCGAACCGCGAATTCCCTTGAAAGTTTTCGAAGTTCAAGGGCTTTAACCGAAGGAGGTACAGTATACAGTACTTTATAAAGATTTTTCTGGGTTAAATTAGGAGGTTCTAAATCAAGGGTTATACTCCACTCAGTATGTTGAGGGACTTTTGCTGCCCAGAATCGATTATAGCACATGTACTACGCTTAACATCACTCAGTTGGTCGCTCTGTTTATTCAAAAAAACGGGCTTCTCTCTACTGTAGAATTAATCTAGTCCAGATTAACCCGAGGCAAAAATACAATGTACTGCGGTACTTCGTTCAACGGTGAAACTACACAATTCAACTAAAATCTTCAACAATCTACCTTTGCCTCGCATATCATTCCTTGAAAATTATTTTTCTACTCCTCAAAAAAAAAACGCGGTATTTATTTCTCTGAATGCCGCTTTTTTCTAAAAGCGGTATATATTTTTCGTATCGCTTGGCGTAAACTGCCAATCATACCAAAACCCGGAAGTAATCAAGCGTTGAAAACCCCGGGAATCGACTACCAAATCACCTTGAGTCAGGTCGTACTAGAAACGGAACTACTACAGCATAACGGACGAGTCACTTCCGCTGGAGCCGCACTTGACCTTCCTTGATCACGGCTTCGTAACGGGGCTGAATCACGACCCAGTTCGCGGAAACGCACTCGGTCAGCTCAATAAGCGCCCAGGACATGAAAAAATACCAATAAAAACAAGGTTCATTTTTAAAGGTGTGAAGAAAAATGATTGCACGGAAAGTTCCGACTGACCCTTTTTTTCGGGTAGGATAAGAAGGGTAAATTACTGTAAACACCGCTCGGCAGAACAAATATGCCCCGCGATCATCAGTTTTTTGGGCGAAAAAATTGGGCATTAACACAAGGAAAATCAATTTTGAATTTTCAACAGGAAAATTCCTCCAAAAATTCAATGGAAAAAGTGTTCCTCAAATTTCAAATGAAGGAAATCATTGTGCAGAAGAAAATCAAACATAATCTGCCCTCTTCGGTCAGAGAAGGTTCCCAAAAGACAAAAAACATATTATTTACAGTTGATGGGGAAAAACCAAAAGAATAAACCTGTTCTGTAAAAAAGAAATTGAATAACTTCATTACATTGCGACAGCTTGAAGAGTATCAAAATGTTGGAAAATACAGTAATGTATTACAGTTATTTAAATTTTTAAATTCTGGCATTGTCCTCATGTTCAGGAGTTGTTCAAATGCTGGGGCAGATTTCTAGAAAAGCCAAATGCTCCAATTGAAAACTTGCGAAGTTAAACATTTTTGAGTTCCCTAAAATTTAAGTTGGAAGTTCACCTGTAGAATAGATAATCGGTTACAGGCCTCCCAAAATATCCTGTGACAGACAGAGTAACAAAAAGCTATGGGAACCGCTAATATTTTCCAGATCATGGCTGGATTTCCTGCATATACAGTAAATGGTCAAATAAGGCAACCAGACAATAAATTTCATTGATAGAATATTCTCAGACCGCGTCGGAAGACTTACGAACCAGGAAATCAATGCTCAAAACAATCAAAAATTGTAATAAAGCTGTCATGCATTCGAGAAATAATTCCGAAAGCTTCATTTCCCGCAGAAAATACTTTTTTTGTTGAAGGACGATTTCTCTACCTGTACGGTCCATTATCCAAATCATGGAGCACTGAAGAAAAATGTGTCTGTACAAGTTTATTTCATGGAAAAACAATTATGTTACGTTATTCTTTCCAAGGAACCAGTACCAAAATATTGTTCGTGGAACTATGAACGGGTTCAATAAATTATGAGTAGCCAGAATTAACTGACATTTTCTGTTTTGAATGCTGATATGGTATTTGCGTGGATGATGGCAGTGTCCTTGATTCTTGAGAAATATTGCTTTTTTCAACGTGTGAACTATCCTTTGCCTGCAAATCTATGATTCCGTTGATTCTAACACGAAATTTGATTTTTTTCGAACTCAAAAAGAGAAACATAATGAGAAATAACTGGGTCACAATAAAATCCCGCTAATTTAAAGAAAGTCATTTCAATGACTTCAATTGTGAATCAGTCCAACTTGAGCTGGAATGAAAATTTTCCATAGCAATATGTTTTCTTGTGATTGTTTGAAGAATTTTATTTTTGAGAAAAATTCCAACATGAAGGAGAACGTCTTTAAAATAACATACAATAGAATAGAATTACTGTACAATGACATAGAACAAAACAATGTGGGGTTGTTTTTTATATATTTCAATGATTCTTTAAATGTCCACTCAGAAATAAATGAATTTCCAGCTTTTCTTTGAGGGAAAGCCTGTGGATCTCATTCATAAAAATTAATGTAATGTATAGCAAATAAATATTGCAGTAAATCTCAAACACGATTTCACGAGGATTTACTGCAGTACTTGTCTGATCCTTGAAACAAACTCGTTAGAAATCCTGCGGCAAAGATTTAATTTTAAATTCATCAAATACAGGTGGGACTGAAGGAAATTCAGGGGATCCAAAAAGTTCGTTGAAGAGAACCTCTATATACGGTCTATAATAAGGGTTGAGACCCCTCTGGGACAAATACAAAAAATTTGTTATATTGCACACTGTATAGAGAAAATCGTTGTAGAGAGTTTCTAACCTGTTGAAACACTTGTCTCAAAGACAATCGACAGTTAGAAAGCTGTGTAAAAATATTTTCATGCTATATTCTTATTGATGCGGCGGAAATTGTGGAATAGTATTCCAGTATTATCAATCGAAGGTTAAAACACGGAAGATTCTGATTTCGCTTCGAAGGAATTTGACGATTTCGAAAAAAATCTTGCGTCTTGATTTCTCAAGCGAAATGTTCTCCTTTGCTCAATCCCAAGAAAATTTCTGCAAGATGTTTACATCTCTGGAGAGATGATTTCTTTCGAACGAGTACATCCTCACATTAGTGCGGGTTTTACGTAAATTTGCCCGTGTCCTTAATAATTATATTGTCGAACCGCGAATTCCCTTGAAAGTTTTCGAAGTTCAAGGGCTTTTTGTTAGCGTGAGAATGTTGGACGTCGAAAATGTAATATTTCCGGAATGCGCATTGTTCTGCCCTTGGATGTCCTTTCAACATTTCGTAAATTAGACCGGGAAAAACATATCGGGAAATTCTTTCATATTTGATGGTGAATCTAAGGTCAGGTCAGTAATCACGCACGCTTCCGTCCTCACTTCGTTTTCCTCGTGTCTTGATCGAGTATACTCTGGGTCAGAAATAAAGATTGAATTTCATTTGGAATTCGAAGAATGCTATTGAGTGCCGGACATTCGGACAACCTCATTTGATGGTAGGTCAATTTGAATTTCCAGCAATAAGAAGCGTGAATTAACGCGCTCATCTGATGTTAGGTCAATTTGAATTTCCAGCAATGATAAGCGTAAATTAACGTGCCGCTCTTCGGTGTTAATATCTATGTTGAATAATTTTCGAGAATTATCCGAAGTTGTTCCCGATTCGCTTTTGGAACGAGAGAGAGAGAAAGTCAGACGGTTTCGAATGCCACTCCTGTCTGACCTCGATTCAATGATAGTCCATTTTCGGGCGATTTTTGTGAAGCTATTTATTTATTCTTTGTCGCCTAGACTTCTCACGTTGATTTATCCTCATTTCGGAATTATGCCCAAAAAACTGCGCATGTCAAGACAAGAACTTTCAAAATTGACCCATAATTCATCAACTGCCATAATTGGACAAATGGGCGTGTCAAAAAACAGCTGAACATTTGATTTGACAGTACGGAAGAGAATTTGAGAAGAACCATTTCTCGGGTCACAACATTTTGCTGTGGATTTCTGTCGTTTTCCCTTGCCCAGACATATCTTATTTTATGGCTAGCCTTTCTGGGTCGACTTCACTGTAGATATGTATCGTGTGCTGTTTCTCAAGCGGAAGCTCAAGTATTTTAATTTCCCTTTATGCATGATAATTTATCCGAAAATAGCAATCAAGGCAACGCCGTGCTTGAGATTCGCAGTTCCGGAGAATAACATTCGGTGCGGGCTGAAACGGCATGGTCGGAACTGTTCCGCATTCATCGAGGCAGGAAGGAAACCGAGCATCCGTTGTACTGAGAGAGAGAGAGAGGAAATGTGAGCAAGCAAGGAAGGAAGGAAAGAACAACGTGAAGTCCATAAAGAACACACAGGGAGAAATAAAACAAAATAATAATAAGTGGCCCACGAGCTCAACCTGGGAATTGTTCGGACGGGGAAAAACGTTCGCCCAAGTTCGAGGTCGTCGCCTGGAGGAAGGTCGTTGCGTCACACTACTAACCGGAAACTGCTGCTCGAGCCACCTGGTGGGTGAACTGCTTGTTCCGGGTGCAGCTGGCCCTCCTTAACCGACATTCCTCGTCTCGTCTGGGTTTTCTTCCTCGCATATATGGACTCCACTTCTGCTTGAAGGGATGGAAATAGCGTACTGTACTGTATTTACGTGGGTGTGGGCCGTAGTCACCCACATTCTGCGCATCAATTTCACAACTTGAAAACAGAAAGTAAAGGCTGCAAATAATTTTAATAAATTTCCCGGAAACGTGGCCCGCACATAGGCAAAGCCTGCCAGTATAGAAATCAGAATTTCAGATCATTGCAAGATTTATTCCACTGTCATCTGCGGAAGGTGTCAATACAAATTATTCCACTGCATGTACAGTATAGTTGAGCATCTGCATTCAGTCTTTACGGGCTTTTTAAACGGCAATTTATTCCACATTTTTTTTGGAAATTAATTCGTCAAATGCATGCAGTCTTCGAAGAGAAATGTGCTCAAATTTGTTGCAATTGAAATTACCCAGAGATTAATTTGTATGAATGAGATCTACAGGCTTCACCTCAAAGAAAAACTGAGAGGACATTAAAAAAGCATTGAAATAAAAAAATCACCCCATTTTTAAATTCTATGTCATTGTAAAGTAATTCTATTTTATTTAATGTAGTTTGGAAGACGTTCTCCTATATGTAGGAATTTTTTTCAGAAGTGAAATTCTTAAAACAATCGCAAAAAACATAATGTATTGCGATTGAAAAATGTTTTGCCGCCCAAGAGCAATTAAGCAGAATTTTCATTCCAGCTCAAGTTGGACTGATTCACAGTTGAAGTCATTGAAATTATTTTCTTTAAATAAGTGAGATTTTTGTACTACCCAGGTACTTGTGAGAATTTTCCCTGAAAATTGAATTTTGCGGACACAAAATAATTTTGGTTGGAAGACATTACTGCAGATATTTTCAATGTTTCTGCTTTTTGGCAAAAATTACATTAAAAACCAATGAAGCAGCAATAGTGGAACATCTTCAAAAATTAGAAAGGTTGGCTCGAGAAAGGCTTCTCTGAGTAGAAAAATAATGCAAGTTTTTTCAGCCAGTGAAAATGCATCTCAAGTTCTATTAGCAGTAAGTCCAACTTATATTTTTTTATAAGATAATATCAACTACCATTGCCTTTCTAAAATTTCAGACAAAGATAACAGACTCAATTGATAATTTTGATACATTTATAATGCAGAAGAAAATGTCCTGCGGACCGGCAAAAAACTTCTGCGGACTGGCGCTGGTCCGTGGGTTGGGGAACATTGGTCCATGCCTATACACGTACAGTATAAAGAGGTTCTCCACAACGAATTTTTTGGATCCCCTGATTTTCTTTATACGGAGTCCACCTGTATTTTCTTTAAATAAAATTCAATCATCGCCGCAGGATATCCATAAAATTTATTTCACGGAGAAAATGAATATTGCAGTAAATGTTCGTGAAATAGTACTTCAGATATGAGTCAGAAACTTATAAAAAGCAGTAGATTTAAATTCAAATCCAACCATGACATTATCCCTGATTTCTCGTCTATAAAAAGTATCTATATTTCAATAATTACTGACGAATATGCGTTCTATTAAATTTTGTAGATACAAATCCTGCGCCCTTATGAAAAATTAGAAAAAATCGCATAAATTAAAATATCCTCAGTTTTTTTTTTACGTACAGAAGCAGTAGTGTGAATCATGGAAAGCGCTTCATGTTCCAGCCCAAGGATGAAAACGCGCTCACAAAAATATTAACCCCCAAGCCCCAACAGACAATCGCAAGCAACGCTCTCTTCAGAACGAGAATAAACCTTGAACTTGAAAAAAAAATCTTGGTATCTTCCATTCCGTCTCGCGCGCGTTCATGAAAAAATTTACACATTCATGACTCTCCATGGTTTGAGCAGCTCGGGCGAGAACGCATATATAATGCAACCGAGGTCATCAGCCACGAAGCCCACATTTTAGCTACTGCGCAAGAGCATCCTAAACGACCGACCGCGGGGCAATTGAATATCCCACCGCTTTTCCTTGCTTTTGAACTGGGAAAAATGATTTCCCAGACAGCCTTGGAAAGGTCTCCATCGCTGCAAGAAGAAACGGATGGGTAACAGACGAAGGGAAGAAATCGCAGCACTTCGCCTATATGGCATGTTTTAATCACACCCCCGGGGGTTGAATGTACGGAATTACGGATGATGAGACCCACTCAGCGTTGAACCCAGTTGATGGGATCACAGAGATATTCTATCGTACATCCTTTCTTACTCCTGTAAACGAACAGAATCGGAATTGTTTCACGGAGTGAATTTTCGCATGCTACGTTTTCCTACCCCATGAGTTATTTTCCCGCGTCAGTCAGTCAACCTCGCACAAAAATCAGAAAAGATAAAAATTATACTTTAATCTGTAACACGAATATTGTACTGTATTTATCATTCGCAGACTGAGTTTCGATACGAAGTGAGTTCTAAGTCAGTACTAAATATATAAAAAACAGCTATACGTGCCAACAAGGAGCAATTTATATAAGGCCCAGCAGTTTCTATGACTTCGCGTACGTACACACATTCATCAAAATTTGCATTATAAAGTAAAGTTTTGCCTTACTCTTCCGGCAAGAAATACTTGGGGCTTAATGGTAAAAAAAGGTCCCGCCACGAATCATAAAAATCATCATCTAGAGATTCTAGACTGCGCCCTAGCTCAAGATGCGTAAATACCTGCTATCCAAGAATAGAATATACCCGGGAGATGTTCAACGAAGGGAAAAGAAGGAAAATGACCAGGAAAAGTAGCCCTGGATATGTTGGAACTTGGAATGCATCAGAAATTTCATCTGGATCGGAGTCCAAACTATTCTTGGTCCATGAACAATAAATTTNTAGCTCAAGATGCGTAAATACCTGCTATCCAAGAATAGAATATACCCGGGAGATGTTCAACGAAGGGAAAAGAAGGAAAATGACCAGGAAAAGTAGCCCTGGATATGTTGGAACTTGGAATGCATCAGAAATTTCATCTGGATCGGAGTCCAAACTATTCTTGGTCCATGAACAATAAATTTGCAGGAGTATTTTATCCAGACTCGCAGAAATATTTCTGGTCTGCAGCCTGGCAGTTTATGCCAATCTGCAGCAGCTGAGAGCCACAGGTTTCTAACTCAAGCATGTCCGAATTTTCCGGACACACTCAGAGAAAATCAAAAATGTTAAGTCATCCGCAAATTGCAATACAATACCAATAAAACAACTTCATTCACTAGAATTCAATAGTCTAAATCAAAAATACGCTAAAGAATTCTAGCAAGAAAAAAATAAAGCCAAATGTATTTAATCACATCGGTGATTACAAAATAACACACCCAATAAAATATAAAACCCGGAAAGAAAAGGGATTTACCATCCTTTTCTTCTCAGAGACCTCATTTCACGATCGCCAAGGTACTTCCTGTTCAAAAACCGAACCGGGTCAAGGCAGCGCATTCGAAATAACGAACCACAACGGTTGGCCTCCAATGCACTGGACGTAACTTCTAGAACGTTTTAAAGAGACAGTTCGGGAAACTAAATCCCGATGTGGAAGGTACGCATTACACACTTAAATCAGCTCAAGATAGTGATCAACATTCGGGGTTTTAGATCTCCTTCATTTGTTTCACGCTCGCTGAAACGATCAGGCCAATAAAACCGCACTGCCGAAATTCGAACACCTTTTCGACCGCATCATCATTGGAACGATCACCGCTGACAAACCCGCGACATTTCATCGACTTCATCACTTGCCTTTCCGCTTCCCCAAATCGCGGGATAAGATCAACCAAGAAATGAAACACACGACTCACCAGCATATTAAACAACTTCTTCCAAAAAATCTTTCGAATAACCTTTTACAGAAACGAATGCGGCGAATTTGATGACCGCATCAATAGTGGGTTCGTACACAACATCTGCCACATCTGAGTCCTCGACGATGGAATCAAGCACTGCAAATTTTGATAGACAACGTAACCAAATTAAGTGAGAAATTAGCGCATTGAAAATTTTTAATACAAAACAGTACAGTTTCCTCATCTCTTAATCACAATTAAGTACAGTACATACAGGTACATTGTATAGGTAATTATAACTGTATAGGCATACTTTTACTGCGTCAAGAAATTCGTTCGAAACATTAATCATGAAGAAATTTAGATGCATGTCTGAGGATTATCCGTGATTTGGAACACCGAACTCACAGACTTTTCCACAGCAAAACTTTTCAACATTATCGTAACACAACTCACAGAAAAATAAACTAAAAATGCATACCCCATTTTCCGGCATCGATATCATCGAACACCGTGGAATTCGAATTCTCCGGCGACATTACGATAGTTTGAACGCATCCCAGACTGTCCAACATCTGCGGCAAAAACATTTAATTCGTGTAAAATGGCTGCGGGATTGAAAAAAAAAATCACCGCTTACTTTCAACAGTTCGAACGTAGTTCTTGAACTCAAATAAGGCTCGTAATAATTCGCAATATTTCGCGCTGACTGCCCTGGTTGTGCCAGGAGATGGCCAAGAACAGCTCCTAATAATCTGTCAAGAACCCGCCGATTCTGCGAACCGTCAATGTGGATCCACGGGAAAATTTGAAAGTGGATCTTTTGTGAACCCCTGCTCGGAAAAGAAGAGAAGTCAATCTTTTTCTCAATTCCGTAATGCTTTAAATGCTTACTTTTCCACTTCCGAAGCAATGCTTTCCAAATTCGTAGCGGCAGCCAGCACACCGGACGCTCCTTGACTAACTTCATCATTTTCGGCCGACTTCGCGGCACTGGCCATGCTTTTGAATTTTTCAATGGCCGACATGCAATTCTCCCTTGTCTTCCTCGTAAAACGAAGACCGCGAACGAGCCACGGCTTAACATGAGATTCAGCAACATACACGATATCACGGGATCCAACTGCCCAAATCAGTTGCGCTGCTACAAGCATTCTGAGCATTTCACCGAGACGCAGGCGATCTCCAGGCAGAATTTCGTACTTCAGCTTTTTTTTCATTTCGTTGATCGTTAATCCGAGAGTACCAGCTTCTTCGATGTAATTGAAAACAGTCCTCATGCAATCGCAATCTTCATCCGAAATATTTTCTCGCTTGCTGCTGGTTATTAGGTCATCCAGGGTTATCTTTTCCACTCTTTCGATGTATCTGAATACGTGAAAATCAGTACTGAGGCATCAACATTTTTACGGCAGTCAACAAAAATATCCCCGTTTTAGCTAAATCTCCACAGAGGATCGAGCTCAATTGATGACCATTAATGAAAGCATTTGAACACTCACGATTGATGGTGTTTCAGCACAGATTGTCGCGCAGCGTGTGGTAAAAATAAATCGTAATTGTTCCGTGGACACTCCAAGTCTATATCCACTTCGGCGGGAACGCAATTCAATTTTAAAAATAACTTGCTCGTCTGCACCTTCACTACAGCCTTACTACGACATTCCTCCTTGAACACGAAAATAAATTGAAATTAATTTTCGATGAAAATATAAATTCAGCCGTTGAAAATATAAATTCAGACGTGTGTGAACATACCAATGCTGGTGTCTCTGGATCTGATTTTCCAGCTTGATATCGCTGCCGATGACTCACGCGTCGTTGGATGGATTTTGACGGACTTGATTCTACAATCAGGCCTGGCTTTGGAGATGAATGGTTCTTTGATGTAATGCCTCGTAACGGATCAAAGCTTAAAAGATCAGGATCGTCGTCTTCCTCATCCTAAAAGGTATCAAATGAATATGTATTTTCGAAATTCGCGAACGAATTGTGAGTGAGCAATTCGAAATACCTGTCGATCAATCTTCAGGTCGGGTCTTGTGAACGTCAGCATATCTTTGAGCGGAAGCTCCGCAATCATGGATAGCTGAACAAATAGAGAAAACTCCCGTAACATTTTCAGATTTGCTCAACAAAACCACTTCGGCGGATAGACAACTTATCGAAATCAACTCACTTGACCAGAACTAGTGAACGACATGATCACACACGTCAATCCACCGTGATTGAAAGAAGTTACTTCAAGTCCACGGGCCTCCACACCGACGGATCTCAGCAAGGTAATCAAGGCATCATCGATTTCAGCGAACGTTTCATAGCGAAATCCTCCACACTTAATTTTATCATTGAATCTGTTCCAGAAAATTCAAAATGAACAGTCGTTCATTGCACTCTACGGCTACACCAAAAGCCACATTTGGCTCATTTCGCCCCACAACGCCACAAGCGATCAAAAGTTCCCTGGAATCACCTGGTCGATAAGCGATACGATGAGGCAGCTGTCGGCAATTGCTTCAAGCTCAAAATTCTCCCAAGCCGCTGCTTCGATTTCACTCGGGCGCTGATTTTAGCCAACTGAAACTTTTTAACAACTCTCCGCAGAAGGTCGAGGCTAAATTCAGAGAAGGCTTTGAACAGCTGCATTCCCCAACTGTTCTTATCGCCACGACAGCACATGGAACTCTGCAAAAGCATTGTTGCGGTTCACTATCGAAACATACAATTGCAAAGCATACCATGAGAATGCCAGATATAACGGTGGCTTGTACGTCATCGACACTCTGAATTCTCCAGGTCGATAGGTCAGATTCGTTGGCAGACAGATCCCTCACAATAAACATCTTGCTGTAAACCAAAGCGATGCGCGTGAATTCAACATTCAAAAACCATTTGATTCGTACACTGACTTCAAATCTTCCAAAGAAGACGGTAGAGTGCTGAAAATTTCATTAAGGGCAGCTGGAAGCTTCCTCTTTGCCGAGAACTCTTTCCGCAAGAGCTCTACAAGTGGTTTCAATGATCGATCAACAGCAGAGGCCGCGGTTTCGTCGCTGTCATCTGACGTGGGAAATGGATCCTAAAAAATGGTCATCGATCATAAAACTTCCTCAAAGTAAAAAAAAAAAAAAAGAAAAAAAATTCGTCGCGTGAGAAAAAACCGCAGCGCGTACTCCTACTGCAGGCATCAACAGTACAGTATGTATTGTAGTTTCTAAGTTCACGCTGCAATAAATTCATATTGGAAAACAGAGCTTCACACCACGTTAGGACGATGAATGATTCCTCAGTTATTCCCGGAAATTTATTCTACACTCATATAAATTCAAAATGCGCGAAATAAATTCACGAACGGAAAAGCCCGATCTTTCACGGCTGAGGAAAACGAATAGTAACATCCTCCCGCGCTTAAAGGAATAAATCTGAAGATAATTTTGCTAACATACAAAAGGAGCAAACCAAATCTTAATTTCGTGCGACACGCGTATTAACAGAGCGTCCTAATACAGTATTACCCGAGATGCGTCAACATGAAACCAAAAATAATGCGGGAATAACTTTCATATTGCTTTTCAAACGAATTAAGACAATCTGATAACTGAAAAAGTACTGCGAACGTTGATCGTAAAACCTCTGTCATCAAGGTGAAAAGGGATATGGCCCGTCAGCAGTTAATTCTTAAGAATGATTTGAGCAATCACGAATGCGCTTGAACGAGATAGTGAAGAATATGGCGGAATTCGATCAAAGCAAGATATCCACGATCCTAGCATTTCAAGATACTAATTTTGTTACATACAAAATTACTTACCGCGATCGTACGAGCCGCTACGCTGCGACTTAAAAATGACTCATAAATACGAGTCATGTGAAGAGACCGACGTTTCGTATGAGCATTCCTGAACCATCTGAATATGGGTGGCACAGTTTTGTCCGAGCTCTGTTGATCAACTCCAATATGGACAAATAATTTCACTCGCGAATCCACAACTTACCGGGAGATATATGTGCAACAAATCCCGAATAGTAACTGCATTCAAGCATTTATCCGAAACTCGCTTCGAGAGCTTCTGGGTCGTGAAAATTATCGCAGCACGGCACATGGTCATGATCTCGCTTTCCTCCCTGGACCACTTCGCCCGGCTATCGAGAAAAATCATTTGAATACATGCAATACATGAGGAGAAATAACTTCGTGAGGACGATCATGTGCATAGAAAGAAGCGAAAGAGGTCAATTTTTCGCTTCAAGTAACGCACACACGTTTTCAATTGAAGTACTGCGAATACAGGACATTTTCAACATGTCAAAATCAAGATGAATTTAACTCACAGACGAATATTGCGTTCCTTCGTTTTACGGTCCATGTCATCCTCGAATCCAATTACACTGTTCTTCCCCCCGAATGATCTCACTCGCACAGAAGTTCTCGGTGATGCGTGGTCCTCATCAGAGTCATCCTGATCGAGTGCGACGATGGCGAGCCCTTTTCTAGCGTTTAATCGACTCCTTTTACGCTCGCTGGCGAACTGAAAAAAAATATCCCCGTTGATTTCATCAATACAGAAACAACAATAGGTTCAACCAACATTCTTCATATCCCCAAGTCGCTTGCGCCCGCGCCGTTGAAGATTTTGCGGCGCGACTGCTTCCAATGCTTCCTCTGAAAATTTTACGCAATAATCTTAGCGTTCAGTATTCACGAACCATAAATACGCGTTACCTTCCATATCCAGGCCTTCAATATCATGACACGAACCAATGAACATGACTGTACAATCCTAAAAACACAAGAAGAAACAAATTGCGAACTTCTATAAAGAAATTAAATAAAACAATTATAAACAGAACGTACCTCAACAACTTTTTCTTTCTCATCGGTGGTAAACCACGAAGGAAGCCGATGTCTAAAAATTCAGAGAGGATTTGTTGACCATTCAATGAGCTTTCTGGTCAGTTTTTCGAGACTCAGCATACAGCGTACTTACGAAAAAAGCATTGAATCAAATCCGGCGGCTCCTTTGCCATTTCCCGGAATAGAACCATTATCCCGGTTAGCTGCCTCCAAGAAATCGACCGGCTTCCAGGTTTCAGCTCCACTTGTGGATTTTTGGAACCGGAGTACACTTCCACTTTCGTCATCTCTCGCATTGTAAGAACCTGATATTATTCGCATTCAATAAATTGAGCTCATCGACTCATTAAACCACAATTGAGAATACACGTATTTCGGGAAATACAGTACGAGACATTCCAAAATCTGCAGCAACAACAAATTCAAGCGAGCATCGTCTTGAAGGCAGTCATTTCTTCCGTACAGTATTTCCTTACGAAAGCGACAAGGCGCTCACCCATTTTTGTTCCAACACAAAACAAATGCAGCACTTGCCACATTTGATTTAACGCCTCAAGGTTCGTCAGGTTGAAAGAGCGACGAGCCAAGCCTTCGGTCTGATGAATTTGATTGTAGCATTCCTTCGCAAGGCGGGTGTCCGTCAGTGTGATGTTTGTGTTCACGTAAAAGAACATCTAAAGAAAAGCTATTTATTTAGTCGACAAGTCTCAGATTGTATCGTCAATCGCTTTCGCCCGGTAGCAGTAATTCCATCATGATTGCCAGTGACGCGCAGTCGTAAAAACTTCAGAGCTCCGAGTGCCACTGCAACCATTATTGAAAACCAAATTCATTTCTACTTCCATTACAAATGCAGTACTGTACTGTATTAACCTTCACAATCAATTTTCTCCCCGAGGTAGCAGGAAAAATGTTCGCTTGAATCAGGTCCCTTGTGACCCAAGGCAGAATTAGAACAAGACAATAAAAATTCAAAATTGCTGATCGAAAACAAAGTGAGGTAAATTACAAAAATATACATATGCACGCGGAATCTTACCGTCTCGGAGTGTTTCGTCAACCGCTTTCCCGGTAGCAGTAACCCCATCATGACTGCCAATGACGCACATTCAACCAATTGAGCAATGTTGTATCTGCCTTGCAACAGGTGATTTCGGATGATATCCTCGGCAAATAGCACTGGAATAAATTTCTTGACCGGATGGTCAAAATAATCGCTGGCATAAAGCGGCTTACGCGCCTGCAAAAGTTTCAGAGAAAAACTTAGCACACATTTATCAACCGGAGTTGTTATTCTTACTTTCAACAGGAAAATGCATCGATTCATGGGTAATCGATAGATGAACTCGCACAGCATGAACCACCCATCTGGGACGGATTCTCCATCTTGAGTCAACCAGGCTTAGAAAAAAAAAAATATTGTGCCATGAAACTCGAACAGTTTTTGAATCTCGAACTTGGTGAATATGCGTTTCCGCAATACCTGGGTGCAATCGAAGGGGTGGTATGAACATATTCCATGAAATTTCACTGCGATACAAACGCGGAAGCGCTCGAATTTCGTCCTCTGACAACGCGAAGTGAGGACCATGATGAAGACAAATTTCTTCGTTGACGGCCGCCCAAGCACGCTTCTGGTCCAGGTTTGGATCACCTATAAGAGGGCAAAGTTTCTATTTTTAATCGTCAGAACTCAGAAATATGGATTTTTGTTTGACGTACCATCGTAACCCCGAGTAATGTAAAATGCCATCTGGTGGAAGAGAAATTGCCGTTGAAATTTCGGAACGGATCCAGTGAACATTTTCCCGGGCCCCTTCATGAAAATGATGAATATTAAACTGGATTCCTCATCAGATCAAGATTCATAATCTTACTCACGCGAGGTGTATCATTTGCTTGAGCTTCATCTTTGTGAAGCTCTGAAATTCTGACGTCTTTGATCAAGTTTTTTGTATTCCAGAACTCAGTGAGGCCCTCAGGTATCGTTACGAAACTATCGCCCCCTCGGATGAGCGTAAGATCGTCCGTGTTCAATTTGTCCTCGATTGATATGGCGTCTGAAAAAGGTCGCGAAATTGAAAAAAAGGTTATTCATCACACAACAGAATCGTGAACAAATTATATTGCAGTTTCAATTCCAGATTCTACAGTAATTAAGTCATGAAAAAACTCACCAGTAGGAAAGCCGGAATGAGCGATCAGCAAACAATCTCGCGAATTGGACAGCCATTCGTAAGTTGTTTTGATGCACCGAACCAATCCTTCGTGTTCCATCTTACGCAACAGAGTTAAAATCGACTTCCGGTCAACGAGTTGTTCTAGACCTTCTTGCAGCTCCTCGCTCCGTAGCCACTAGAAAGGAATGGATACTTCATCTGACACGGCACATAACGCGAATAAATAATCGATCATGGAATGAAGAGAATCAAATTTGACTCACTTTTTGAATGTAATATACAGGGACTAATTTTCTTTGTTGGATATACTCCAGAATTCTTCGACTTCGTCGAAGATTTGTGAATGTCATATCCGAAGAGAGAAGAGACTTTTTGTCGTCGCCGCCTTTTGACTTTGGACTTTTGGAATTCGAACTTTGATCATCGCTGCGCTCCAAAACAATGTCGAATTGTTCTTCAATATTCTTGATCCGAATGTTGAGAATCCCTTCAGACATAGGGTCTACGTCATAGTCCACATTAGATTTTCGCAGATTTGTGTGCTGAGTTTTGGAACTTTCAAGCGCAGATTGCATGTCCCGTATTTCTAACTTGTGCTTCTCTATCAACTCGCGTAATGCATTCAATTCTTCCAAATGTTGCTTTACTTCTCCCTCTCTTTCTTCAATCCCCAAACCGTCAAGATACTTTGATACATACCTGGATTAAAAGATCAGATGCACCCCATTAACGAAATGATTGCAGAAGTTGACCACATCAGTGGATACTCACTTGATCGTCTTTTGACGTCCTCTCAACACGGACACCGCCACGAGATCCCCTTTCTTCACCAATTTTCGAAAAATTGATCGAGTGTCAAGCTTATTCAACCCCACTTTGGCAGTCACGTCCGTTATGGAAACGCCATCGGAACCCTGGCTCTCAATGTAAAGCATGACGACATCATCCACGTGACGGTTGGGAGCAAAATCGCTCTTATCAAGATAGCCTACACCAAAAAGTAAGGTTACGCAATGAAAACTTAACAGTATTGTTGGCTGATTTTCATGATTACAGCACAAGAGATACATAATAACCTACATAGAAAGCATTTCACAGAGGGTCGACAAAAATGAGAAACATCCACAATTAAATACGACTTGTACACTTGTGCGTAATGAAACTGCGGGCAGCAGTTTTTTCTGAAAAAGCGAGCAGTTTCATGCACGCAGACTGAGTTCATCAGCAGTAAAAAGCTAAGAACAATAAAATAAAAGAGATGGTGTTCATTTCAAGGTGAAACTACAGAACAGTATCTTTAAAACAATCCTCCCCAGTGCGTTTTTCTTCTCCCACGAAAATTAATCCCGACCGCGCATAGGACGCATTTCTCCTGAAAAGAACTTCCAGTATTTTTGCGGCGACTTCAGCCTTTTCCAATTCGAAATCGCTGCGCGGCTTATCATGAATACTCAGTTATTTAAAAAAATCCACCCTACTTACCCAAAAGCTGTCCATTATCATCGTCGTCGTCATCATCGTCCTCCTCTTCGGGTTCATCTTGGGCAGCACTTGGATCGCAAATCATTTCTATAATTTTCACTTGCCGTTCGGCTGCTTGGCTCTTCCTCATGAATTCTTTTTTGTCAGCATCTGGATACACCTCTCGATACAAAGGCTACATACGAAAAATCACAGATGTTACGGAGGCATTCACCAAGCTAACGACGAGAAAAATTAATAATTTAAAAAATGAAACCTTACTGTAGAGAGACGAAAAGCCTTTTTGAAAGAGTTCGTTTTGATCATTTTCTTGACGGCACCAGGAGTGTATCCAAGCTGAGTCAGAAGGTCGGCGTAAGGCATCCTTAAAAAAAGGAGAATCAGAAAATTAATACGCACACATACAAACGAGAGAAGTCGCAAAACTCGCTTCTTCTGCGGTTTTGTCTTCAAGAGGTCTGCAGCGGCATGAACGAATTTCTCTGCCTTCGCGAGGAATTGCGAATAAAACCGTTTCAATTGCAACAGACGACCAAGAACATTCGTTGCTTTACTCTTCATGGAGCAATCCTGGAAAACAATATTGACTTACATTAAACGTTGACTTCAACCGGTCTGAAAAAAGTTACAGATCTAACCTGCTTGACGACGAGATTATTTTTTAGCAACAATTTTCGCAGATGGAACATGGTCTTCGGATTAATGTTCATCTTCTGGAGCAGTCCGCTTTTTCCTTGCGTTATTTCTCCGCTATACCGACCTCTTCCGATTCTTTCCATCATCGCGTATTGAATTGCGGACAGCTTGATCGGGATTGGGTGGTTTCCAGCAAGGGCGATATTTCTCGCTCTTTGAGAGGCAACTATGACCAAACGATTTCCATACCTGAAGTTAAGGCATGCATAATATGAAAAAAATCCTGCTTCCCCAATAACAAATAACATTCCGGAGTTCATCCAAGAAATCTGAATTTGTAGAAGGATCTTGAACGATATATCTTCGAAGATGTCAAAAGTGACCTCACTTGGACATAGCTTCGTCCAAGGAAGACGAATGAAGGCACGGAGCTGGACGTCGCGTGTGGTATGACGCGCAAGAGCCTCGTATGTCGGCATCATCGATGACCTCAAATGGATACAGGTCGTTCAGATCATCCTGCGGACGATTCAGAATAACTGAGCATTTTCAAGATTGGATCTGAACATATCATGATTGGCACCGGGAGCGTGTCGGCAACAAGAAACATATCTTTTTCCAGCCCACAAAAAATGTACCATATCGATTTATCAAATGATCAAATAGAAACTTGATCTTGAACATACTTCCTCCTTTAGCATCCCGGTTTCACTATCGAGTGCAGAGGGGTCGAAACGATCATACACGATCAGTTCTTTCCTCGGCTTCTCCAGTAAGAAAAATGAAATCGAATTCATCCTTTTTATGATGTTCCATAAGAACTTCTTCGAAGAATGATCGATGGTAATCCCAAATTTAGGCTTCCTCGCTGCAAGACGTTTCCATAATCCTACAAAGGATATTTCAAATTATTAGCTGATTTTGAGTAATTTACTCATTTAGTTGAACCTTCGATGGTTATCCCGTCTAATCCTTCCAGAGAAATCTCGTCACAAATACATCCGGCGTAATCAACGGAATCCAGAGTGAGTTCCGCATGATCTCCGTCCATCGTGCGTCCGATTCTTCCACAACACCAATCCCTTGGCGCAATTTCACTACTCTTAACTGGTAACTGCAATCGTAAATGTACAACGAACCGTGAAAAGAGTAGGAACTGAAAGCCGAATGAAATCAATTTAAAAAATACTTTTGAGTCACAGAATCGACATTGGCAAAAATACGGGTGCTTTACTTTTACACCACCAAATAAAGAGAAACAGAACATCATCCATCCACACTCGTCCACGCAGTCAAAAGTCGCACGAAACACGGAATATCTCGGGGATCATCACGTTGTGGCCAAAAGGAGACAAATTCAAATGTGATTCGACAAGCAAGAAAACCGCGAACTTTCTGCAGAGCCATCAGTGTAAATAAGGCAATCGGAAAAATAAAAATCAAGCCGCGCGGAATGTCCGGAAGCCGTCGACACGGCTTTCTGCTTACTAATCACGCGAATTCGTATAACGTAGAGCGAATGGGCTCATCCACACGTGAACGAAGGCAGAAGTCTAAAAAAAAATTTCTTCGGATCGGACGAAGAGTTGAACAGGATGCGATCACTGGGGCGATCGATAATCACGAAATGGTAATGAATAACTTGTTACCGCCGCCTCGTCATTTCACAGAGAACTCTTTTCGAATAACTTAATTCTCGCTTTTGCTTTGGCGCTTCTGAATGGCGTGAGCTAGATCAGTTTTCAAGGCCTCTTGCTTCTTCTTTTCCGAAAGGCTTTCCACACTCCGTAGGCCCTGAACTATGTCTTGGGTTTTCGAGAAATAAATATCGTTCAAAGTGGACCTAATTTTGTTCTCCATGTCTTCCACGAGTCTTCCGATGTTAGCGATGTGCGGAGAAGATTCGCTCAAAGTGCAATCCATCTCGACCTGCAAAAATATGTCAATCACAAAAATATAAAAGTTTGATTTTAACCCAGAGGCATACCAAATGAATATTACCATGCGCTGAAATAAAATTCATCCCCGGACTCAGACATTTCCAGATTTTCGGTGAACAAAATCAAGGAGCAATTAAAATTTACTCTAGTGCGTATTGAAGCTATTTCTGAAGAATATATACTCGTACGTTGATCCCTTCCCAAAAATCACAAAATCGACGTCCTTATCGAACGTAAGTACGAGATGACAGTTGCGTACAACGTTAATGAAAAAAACACAATTTTTATTCTGAAGAAACGTAAACAGTGTAGGCGTAAACCCACTTCACTTCCGCTTGAGATATTCATTTGTCAAGCCGCGGACGCGCACTCTCCAAAGAGGAATACCAATGTTCGCTAAAAGCCTAAAACGCTTGAAAAACTTTTCATCTTCTCTCGCTCACTGCGGCGATCGGTACACTTGCCGATACGGGGGAGATAATCGTATGGGCCAACTTCGCTAATTTAAAAAGAGAACGACCAGTCCACGAATGAACAATCGTTTCATTAGGGGAATATTGGAACAGCATCGGTGTAAAGAATAAACAAGAATGAGCTGACTTTTTCCTGGCCGACAACGGGGAGTCAACAGACGTTTACTGAACAAAGAAAACGGATCAGTGTTTTACAATCTGCACTCACCTGTCTCGTCAGAGATCCGCCCAGATTAATGACACCAGAGTCAGACTTGTTGGTCTGCAGCCACAACATGACGGTCGATGTAAGCTTATAGTGAGCGTTACGACCCGATCCTTTCTCCTGAATTTCTACAACGTGGATCGAATCCCAACATCCTCGAATCTTCTTACTTCCGTCCCCGGATTTTTTGATGAGCACAACACCTGATGAAATATTGCGTAGCGAAAATTTAGAGCAAAGATCTTTCAGTTAATGGAAAAAAATTACTCACATGCGAAACCATGATCTAAGTCCCATAAATAAACCGAAGATACGCCGCCTTCATAGTACAATTCCTTGTACTGTTCAAATGCATTGTTGGCTTCGATCTCCAGTTTTCTCAACCTTTCAGACGGCATAGCACCTTCTTCCATTTCGGGATAGTAATGGTTGCTCCATGGGGAACTGTAAAAATGTCACGTAGATCAGAATTGGCATGCGCGCTATCCAGGTTCAAATTTTCAATAATGGAGAGATAAAAACAGCTGTCTATATAAAGTAATTCAAATTTAAGCCGATTAATTGACCGAGGATTGGCTGATCAGTTGATTACTTGGGCGAGATTCATCGTGATGCAAGTATACCGGTAATTACGCGGGATCATACTGCGGCGAATCTCCGCAGAACAGCCTTAATCCATTCCACAGCAAAGGCTGTTCTGCAGGAAAACGAAACCTTTCCGGGAGAATTCAGTTCATTTCGTACCCTTCAGCACTGTACTCCAGCATCAAAGCGAAGGCAATAAAAAAATGCTCTTCCTTTCATAATACGATGTAAAAAAAAACTTTCCTCTGCTTGGTCTGGCTCTCATTCTGTTCACACTACGTACACTCGTCACAAAATTTATCAATTCTTAGAATGGGAAATGGTTGCAAATGAAAAAATTGAGAAAATAACTGGGTCACGAATGAAGAAAGCAACCGGAGAAATGATGAGCAGTGATCCAGACCAAATGAATGAAAAATAATAAACATTCGTGATCCCCGACTCTGTGACCGCTAAATGTTCCAACTGCATACCATTCCGAAAACCAAAGGCCGTTCTGTGAAGCAGATTTCGGCCAACATGTAATAACATAAAACTCTTAAGAAAAATGAAAGAAACCCGTTCAGTAGTCCGAATAGCAAGATTTCTTCATCAGGTTTTTTTTTCGGAGTTCCTGTGATATTTGAGCTTATTAATGAAACTTACCGATACGAGTCTCCATCACGATTGTAATCACACAACAGATACTCCTTTCCAACAACTTCATCCCTCGCAATTTTCAGAGGCTGATCAACGGAAGACAAAAGCTCCTCACAAAGATCCGGCACAATGTCAATCAGATCGCTCAAATTCTTGACGATTTTTTGAGGAGGCAGTCGGCGCATCAAATCCAATGCACAATCCAATTGCTGATCTGGATGTACCGCCTGCGAAGTTAAATCCTTCGCATCATATTTGCTTACATTCAAAATTGTATTCATACAAACCATGATGTAGCTCTCCGAAAACACGGGACGTAATCCCAATGAATTAACGTGCGAACCGCAACTACAAATCTACAGTAACGTTCTTCAAGACAAACCGCCACCGATCACCGTGAAAGGGATCGACAGCACACGTCTAGGAAAAAGACACAAGATTCCACTATTACTGCAAGAAAACATGATAGTGATTCAAACATGAGCCAAATCGTCGAAGGATGATCAGCGAGCTTCAACATCATGAAATTCTGTGTGCGCAAAATCGGCAGAAGTTGATCACTAGCGCAACGATATAGGCACCCTCAAGCTGTCATCGGAAAGACTTGAAGCCGAAGAATCACTGAGTTCCTCCGCCGAAATAGCCACTGATAAATGAAGACATGCCCAGAAATCCTTCACTCGCAGCCACCAACGGCTCTTTCTTTCTTCCCGCCATTAACAAAATTCTCGGCCCCGAAATAACCTTACAGCATCCCTTCATCCCTCTTCTTGCTATAAATCTAGCAACAGTTTCATTTGCAGCAAGAAAAGAGACCAGGATTAGCAAGATTCCAACGGCGATACAGACGAAGTCCCATGAAAGGAGCGAGTTCAAAATCAGCCGAATCGTTAACCGGAACAGCATCTGCTTTCTCCCCTCGTCCCGAACTCTTTAGGAGGCTTCGGAATCAGATAAACCACACTCAGGAAAATTTAGCATTTCAGAAGTCGATCGCCAAGGAAAATTTGATAACCGACGACCGCACATGCTTGAATCGATCGAACGATTCAGAGGCACATCAAAATCGACACCGGACCAGTCGCGAGAGGTATAAAAAATAAAGACGCAGCACGAATGAAATCGATTAATGGACGACCTAGTTTTCCTGTGAAAGCTGAGCTTGATAAAAATGCATGAAACTATTACGGTAACGGGAAGCGTCTGAGGAATGGATCAAATACGCTCAAGGTTGGAAAGTACAGCGACGCTCGCAAAGAACGCTCCGAATAGAACCTCAAGCGTACAAAAAAAATTCTTTCGTAGTTCCCCTCGACAGTGTAAGGCATACTTTTAGACAATGCTTAATCAAATCCAGACAAGAGGCAAGGAGCCTTAGGGATCTCAGATGAAGTTGCCCAAAGAGAAGAAACCCTAAAATAAGAATGCAAAGACACTCATCGTCAGGAACTTCCTTTGTATTAACCGAGCACGAAAGAAAAAATTGAACGGCAATCAAGAAATACCTCGACGACGAGGCCGAGAGAGAAAAGAGCTCACCGCCACCCTAAATTCACTGATTATCCCCTCCCTCCCGATTTTCTCTCCGCACGTCATCGTATCTCTCAATGCTCCTTCAACGTTCTTGATTCATTCATGATGTTCCAGACGGCGGTTTCAACAAGGCGTCAAGCTTATTTGTCGGCAGAGGTGTCCGGCTTTAAAGCGATCACAACTTCTTCGCCACAAGCCTTCAAAACCGTGCACTGCGAAGAACAAACAAAATTATCATACTGTCTTCAGCACCCACAAATTTTGGCTTACCATCAGCGCTTTGCCGGCATCAAAATCTGTGCGCAACTGAGACCCCAGATCACCGTCTGGGCACTTCAGATCCTCACGTAAGTCACCGGAATCCGTCACCAGCGACAAATAGCCGTCATCGGAAACGCTAACCAACTTGAAATTCAAGAACATTTGACAACGTTCTACTAGAAGTCACAGAAATAGAAGATACCAACCTGAAAATCATTACGTTTGACGACCGGCACTTCCATGTTGTGAGTAGAAGGGCAAATATCTTCGAACTTCTTGTTGGTGAAAATGTCTAACCCAACCAGATGAACCTTAGCGTGCCCGTGCTTTCCGGTCTTCGAAGTGGACATTTCGACAATTTTGCAAGGACGACCCTACGATGACACGAAGATATGCCAGTTATTACATCAGAACGCACGAAAGTTCACAATGAAAGGCACCTTCAGCATGACGAATCCGTTCTTGCGTAGAGCAGAGCATTGCATGGGGAAGGTGGAAGATGCTCCAGAGTCCGCGGATTCGAACGTCTCATGATCACCGATATCTTCCGACATTTTCACGGACTGAGAAACCACGCTAAGAGCACAAACCTATTCGTAACGATTTTCGGAGGGGTACGAATGAACTCACTGAGGAAAAATATGCGAACGCATCGTTCAGATATTTCTGACTTACGGAAAAGAAGCCTCAGAAGTCAAGCAATAGGAAAATTTTTTCCACGGTTTACCTGAAAAATGTTTCACTGATACTTTGGCTTTACTGTACTAGATTTCCTTCACTGGCACCAACATAGGGAGTCAGCTAGTACCGTGACTCAATTTGTTCAGATCGAAATGCACGCCCAACGGAACAGCACGTTTCTTGTTGCGCGAGCAAGACACACAGAGAACTCGATCTGGTCTTCAGACCTTTTCCCAAGTCACAGACCTGAAGGGAAACCTTCGATTTGCCTCTTTCACTCTTCGCGTTCCTCTTGGCGCCGGCAATTCGCAAGATCAACCTATGATCGAAAAGGAGAGATGGCGGCGCCCGTGGATTTGGTTGAATCGAGTACGCTGGTCATAACGTGGCGATCACAGCAAGCAGAATGTGATGCACACTGATTCAGCGAATCCATCGGAAATTCCGAGAATTGTGTCCGTCAATTGGTAGTACCTGTGGAACCTTTCCCAATTCATGATTGAAAGTTTCATTAAGGTAGCAGCGGTACAGAAAACACAATTTCTGATGCAATCAACCTGGTAAGTTTATTTCATTTTCAAAAAATGTCATGTCCAGACCAGCAGCGCGAGTGCGTGCTACGAACGCCGGGCTTTTTGATAAAGTAATAAATAAGCAACAAAATGAAAAGAGAAGTACTGCGCAAGGATAATCATAACATTCGAATGATAATTGTTTTCGTCGAAGGTGTACTTCTGCAGCACTTCTTGACCTGTCGCAAGACATTGCGAGGTATCCGCTGTCGTGTTACCAATACTTCCAGAACATGCTGCAAAATATTAAAAATTTCACGAAATGAATTCGATCCGAAGGTCATCTGGAAAATCTTGAAAACCAGGAACGTGTCTTTTTTCCCTAGCGTCTCACCGAAGGTTCTGTCTCCCCCAAACTGAGTTATCATAAGGTTTTCGAAGCCGACTCGAAACCATGAAACATATTGCAGCCATCGAACGTACGGAGACCAAGAACTGCAAAGTAAAATATTTTATTCTTCGGATAAACATTCCACACCCCTGTGCAACTAACCTGAGATTAAAGAAAAGCCCACCAAAGCTGACCAGGATTGTTGACAGTGGGTTAATAATTGATATTGGAATAGCCACATTCCGGAAAGGCGCGGACACCATCGCTCCTGGAAGAACACGGAATTCATCCCAATGCGATAGTCACCTCTAATCCCTCACTGTCGCTTACCAAATGCCGAAGCGGTATTTGCGATCAGTATTAAGGATAATAAAGTGGATGCATAATAAATCAGGCCGGGTCGTAGATCAGCAATCAAGTACAGCAACGAGGCATATAACCACCCTTCAAGAACAAAGCCAGGAATCTGCAAAGAGAAAAATAGTAGGACACGGAAAGAAGTAAACCGATGAATTTGTTCTTCACCAGAAACAAGGCTTTCGAAAAGTAATACGAATGCACGGAGTACAAGTCCGAGCGGAATTCTCTCAAGAAAAGTCCAATTTGCCGAGGCATGAGGTTGAGCACGGCATTAGACGTGGGAAAAGAATTCTGCGCAATCATCATCCAGGTTATACCAGTGATAGCTTGTATGCCGAGCTGATCCGATGCCATTTTCGTGAATACTGATCCCACAATGAACACCATTATCTGTGATATCAAAATGAAAGTTAACACAATAGTGCATGATTGAATAACTGGATTAGGAGTAGAGTATATATAGTCCTTATAAATGCGTACGATCCGCTGTAAAAGCCTGGGCTTCGTAACGATTGGGTTTCGTTTTGCGTCTTTTGCTGACCGAATGAGGAGTGCCCAAACTTCCCATAAAAACGGCGGAGATTTCCTGAAATTGAGAAGTATTTTCAAGAAGAAAAGTCAAGTTATGAGAAATAGTTGCATATGTACCTTTTCAAACTTTGCAACTGATTCAGCCCATCGTCCTGAAAATAGAAGAAAAAATGTTCCGTTGCAATAAATAAATTAAATAGCGAAGTTACTTTTTACTCACAACTCGAGTAGATTCCGACATTCGTGAGCTCATTTGAGCCAATTCTTCATTAACACGTTCGCCTAACGCAGAATCCTCAAATACATCACATATTTTCTCGATTTGAACCAGGGAACCAGACAAATCTCCCCGTTTGACACTCAACACTGCAATGTAGTGGTCAGCAGGGTTGTATTTGGCTGGACAGGGATAACCAATTCTGCAACACATAAAAACCATTTGGTTATCGCGGTCCGTATGAGATGCCAAATGCTGTGGATAACAACAGCAAGCTCACGGGTTTTATGGACGATGGATTAAAAATACAAATACAAGACGATGGATATGAATGGTGCATATGGATTATAAATACGAACTGGCTCCAGCGTACTTTTTTTTTCAAGTAATATTTGAGAAATTTTCCGAAGGAAATTCAAATGAGTTTCAATTCGAAATGTTTTCAAACATGATACCCGAATTGATTGTAGAGATAATAATCTCTACGTAAATTTAAATGATCTGAATAGTTCTTTCTTAATCCATCCACTGATCACAATTTAATCAGACACGATCATGGTCGAGAATTATAGTGAACTCACCCGTTGAAAAAATCGAGTGCTTGCGCAGACGTGCCTTGGAAAGCGACCCGACCCTCGGCCAATAGCATGATTTCCTCGAAATAACCCATCAGAGCTGAAGAGGGCTGATGAATGGTGCATATGACAGTTTTTCGAGGAAAGTGACCGCCTTCTCTCGTTTCCCCGGTGTAAGTTTTTCCCTGAGCGAGGAAATTCATGAAACGAACGATCCGCTCAGCGTTCCAACTGTCCAAGCCAGTCGTGGGCTCATCGCACAAGAGGATCGGCGGATCTGTAAAAATCTGGAAGGAAACAATGTCTCAAGTTGAAAAAATACCGTTAGCAGTGTGTAAAAGGATACCGCACACAAGTTTTCAGAAAAACCTTTTAACGCAAACATTTTCGCATCGTAAACCAAAAATAATTTATCCTTCATCTGCAATATCTCCTGAATGGTTGGAGCTACTATCTGTCTCGAAAAATAATTGAAACTGAGGTTAATTCAATTTACTTTCTGTAGTTTTCGAAGATCTTCGATTTCACCCCTTTACAGATATCACATCTTGGAATTTAAACATTGCAAATTTTCTCCATTCAAGATTAAATTAAGTAATTAACCTCGAACGTGATTGAATCACGGAGTCGTTACGAGAATGAGACGAAGCATCGCTTGAAAAAAAAAAAAAAAACTACAGCAGTACACGTAAATAAAATTTGATTTTTTCCGCACCTCAGTTGCAAATGATAAACGCTTCTTTTCACCTCCAGATATTCCCTTCAATTTTCCAGGTATGCCGATCGGCGTGTCTTGGCACTTGGTGAGTCCCATTTGTTCAATCACTGCGTCAATCCTTGCTTTTCGTTCTTCGGAGGTTGAACTCGTCGGAAGACGAATTCGAGCCTTGGATTAAATCAAATTATATTAATAATTCAAAAGAAACCTTACTTTAGTCACAAGAACCTCCAGAAAAGCAACAAAAAAAAAGACTTTTTTACGGTACTGTACTATTCAGCAATTTTATTTTCGAAGGATGCATTGCTGAATGAAAGCTTACTAGTTCTTGACAACAAAGGTGTTCAGTTTCCCCTCCTTTCCTCTTAAAACAGCTTTTTTGAGAACGATTTCTGGCAACGTACCGTAACTCAAATACAGTAATAACAAGTGCATTCGATGACCAAATGAGAAGGCGGCGATGGATACCCAAGACAATGTGATTAACTCTTGATAAAGTAAAACTCCCTAGAGTATGAATATAAAAAAAAAAGTTGAAGCTACTACTGTAATACAGTAGTCAGCTTTATAGTGATGATTTTTAAAAAGATAAATTTGAAAACTCGGCAATATTGTTTACTTACGGGAACAAGAAAATTGGTTGGGATAGCGGAGTACCGTAATAAGATTTTAGTAGAAAGCTAATGGACTTCCGCGATGCATTTTCCATCATGAAACGGAAGAATTTTGTAGAACATTTTCCCACTTCATCTGATAGAAAATTCAGCCAGTAAGAAATTTATCTGCTACATCACAGCTTCATCAAAAACTCAATTCTCTACCCTGATCCAGACGATTTTAGATACGTTTCGCCATATTTATTTGCAGCGTTTGTTAATATTGTTAGGAGAAAACCTTAATCTTTCATTTTGCAATAATTAAAATTCCGGGTATCATACAGCGTTTCTATAGTATTCTCTTGTCATTTGTAAATTAGTAAAGAAAACATTTAATGACAACGCTAGTAAAGGATAACTCTTCTTGGCAGCAATACAAAGAAAATCTGTCGAGTCACTTTAAGGAAGCTGTAGAGAGTCAAATTTAAATACAGTACTTTCTATTGACCATATTGGCACCCAGAAAGTTCTGAAAAATAAAAATTTCAAGGATTCATGTGACGGAGGAGGCGATTCTAGAGGCATGGATAGAAAATATTCCATGCCAAACCACGGGACCAGGTAATTTTTGGAATTTAAAGGTTTACAAAAGTGAACTTATCCATTCCATTTCCCGATTTTGAACAAAAAGTCTAGTTCAACAGTTTAACTTCATTCATATTTTCTAAATACTTTCAATAGGTACTTGACAAATCGAGGAAATATTTCGGGAATTTGTTTCCTATTTTCAGAATAATTGGTATGTAAGTCAATTCTTAGGTTTTTGAAACGTTACTCTGTTGTTCCTCCACTGATGGGTCCATATCATCACAGCATGGTGGAGATGGAAATGAAAATTTCGTTGCCATTCGCCACATGCTAGAAAAAGACCAATCCTGGACTTTCGCAAAATACAAGAAAACCGAAGTGAACTCGAGCAGCAACAAAAACGCATGCCACTCAGCTATGATCGCTCAGGTTGGCAGTCGCTGCAACCTTTTAGTCATAAAATATACTTCCTTGTGCATGTTAAGATACAGCATTTCCCTGTTCAGTTATCAAGTTTTCGAAAGATAAGTTCGGTAGGGAACAGTTTTTTCCAATTTCCGAAAAATTAATTCCAGTATGCGTCCACCAGGAAGAAAATCATGCAGGTGCATTTTTCTGTTGTGAGAATTGCTTTTCATAAGAACAGTTTTATCATATCCGTAAGGATACTCAGCATCCACGTAAAAACAGAAGATATATACTTCGGTGATGGCTGGACTACATTCGCGAGAGTGAATTGATGTTGCTGCAGTGATATTTAAGCCAGGTATTCCAAGTGACACGAGAAAATCATGCACACAAAAACATGTTGCTCGTGCTCTGCATCATTGCAAAAAGCTTCACGAATGCGCAGAAGACCAATGAATCACTTTGAAAATGCTCACCATAAAGGATAAATGTTCTCTGACAGTTAAACTGCCCAGGAAAAGATCGTCTTGATAAAGGAACCCGCTCAAATATGCCATCGTCGTGGACCTCGGGCCCCCCACGTTGATCCCGTTAACGAACACGTCCCCCTGAACGCGCAGCTCCTTCGGAGCACGTTGCCCCAGAACTTGCAACAAAGACGTTTTCCCAGCTCCACTTGAGCCCATTATAGCAAGTACTTTTCCTGGCTTCGCATATCCAGACACTAAATAAAATAGGTAATGTAGTAACGTAAACCTGTACAATCATGAACAAGAAGCATTATCTCGGTAGTCTAAAGCGATTCCAGAATCCGACCACGTTTACAATAAATAAAATATTCAACACCTATCTTCGTCCCTTACAAAATAAAACAAAACAAAAAATAACATAATGGAGATTTTTCTAAACAAAAAAGCACATGTCCTCATTGCGATAATTCGCGTTCGTTGAAAATCAATTAAAACGGGTCTTGAAAAATCCCGTCACCGATGGACGCATTTATTGCACGAACAGCACAGAAGCTATAGAAACTTCAAATATGTAAAAAAAATCTATTAATTTAATTCCAATACTGAATAACATTGCATGCAGGCACTGCATTACCTGGGTAAATACATCTTTCACACGAATGCATACGAACTGCTGAAAAGTTGAGTCATTTTCAAGAAAATTTGATTTGTCTCACCATGGCGAATAGCGTGCTTGAATTCGGTAGAAGAGTTTCGCCCGAAGGGAAGCCAGTTCCGTTTCCGATTCAAAACCTTTTCACTTGCGCGGCGCGGGACCTCGACGGTGATATCCCTCCACGTCAACGAAGCAGTTCTTGATTTGTCTTCGCAATTGTTCAGGCTGCGTTCGTACGAAGAGCTTTCGCCGAAGTGCAGAAGTTCGGTGCTCGTCGCCGACGATCCGTAATCCTTTTTGCTTCCAGAAGATCTCTCGGTGCTTGAAAAAGACGCCTATATGTACACACGAGGATGACATCATCATTGCCACTAATGAATCCCTTCCACTGCAAAGACGCGATATGAAAACCTCACCGCCGATTGTAAGCACAATGTATCGTCTGGAGGCGGACGCTGTGTCCCCAGCAGTTCATCTCTTTCACTCATATCCTCGCGTTGCTGCGGATGGCCAGAAACGAAACTTGAAGTATTTTAATCGCACTTCAAACTTCAGATTGACGGAGGTTTCCACCTCGGGCACACGAACGATATTAATTGCGCAGTTGCAGTCCACTTAGCGACAACGATGCATGATGTACTCAAATCCAAGACTTGCAGGTCTTGCACACTAAATCGCGCCTGCTGGACACTGACTGACTTGTTAAAATCTTCATACAAAGCGGGCATGGGAGTTCAACGCTGTCGCTCTCGTTCTACCATTCCACACCCGGGAAGTCCAAGGCGATGTGCTTAGCAGCAGGGATGATGCGCCCAACTCCGGCTTCAGCAGGTTCATGGCGACTGGCGAGCCACTGTTGAAATGAAGAAGGATCAAAGGGCATCAACTTCGGTTGCTCGTTTCATAGATCAGAGTGAATAGTGTTTCCGGATCAGTTATGGTTATCATGTACACACAGTACAGTACAGTATTTCTTTGTCAGGTAACAATTATTATGGGACTTTTTTATGATGAAGTTTCATTTAATGGCAACTTTATTCTATGTCCCTTTGAGATTTCCAACAAAATTTCTTCAATGAATTTTGTTCAGCATAGAATGCCTTAAAATAGCTAACAGAAGAAAAGGTAGTACCTTGCAATTTGACCACCTTGAAATTTCTCCATCCCTCAATTTTATGGTTGAATTTGTGGGGTCATTTGACTTGTGATTTGACATCTGCCCCACAATTCAACAATGGAGAGGCACAGAAATGTCAAATACAATGTAGAAAATATTGCTTTTGATGTTGCTTTGCAATTCGACTGTTTCACAATTTTACCCTAATCCAGCAACAGATTAGGGTCAAATTGCTGGGCACCGCCCGTACTCAGAAATGAGGTGAAGCATGGTCAACACTACTAAAAATATCAAAACAGCTTTTATCCCTTTGAAAAATGTTGCAGCATGAAAACCACTTTTTAAATGATTTATTTTCAAAGCAGCAGGGGTTTTCAACCCAAAACAAAAATCGTTGGCAACTCCATATAGTCCAGAGTGCAAATTAAGAATTCTTTTATATAGACAAGATAAAATTAAAAAATTTTGAAAGTGAAGATGGTGCTGTTACACATAGCAGCACTTGCGTGAGTAACATTTTAAATACATTTTAAAAATTTAAAGATGTAATGGTCAAAAGGTTCATAAAATTCTGAAATATCCAATTTAATTCTTGATACAATTGATTAATATTATTGATAGTGATAGCTTGATAGTATTGATGTGTCTATTGATGTGTCCCTTATTCTTTGCGGCCCGAAATTGTGCGTACAGTATGCTGTACTTGTTTTATTTCCCTTTATAATAATTTTAAAGTAAGTTAAGCATCAGTAATATATATTGAAATTTTCTTGAGACCTAAAGTCGCAGTTTGCATGTTGCGTATATTCTTCTGAGGGAGGATTATTCTAAATGAAAGGACAGTTGTGCAGTTTTAGTAAATGAGTACAGTAATCGGTATCCAGCAATGAATGGGAGGAAATATCTGAAAACTTCCGTTTGGGCAGCGAAACATCATGGGCAACCTTTCAGGTTGAATGCTGACCGTAAGACAGATCCGCTGTCTCACTTGCGAAGGTTCTCTCTCAGACTGTGCTAGGCGGACAGGAAGGAACCACATCACGCCCGCCTGTTTCCGACTGAGAGGACAAAAGTCCTCAGGATGAGTTGTCTTGATTCTTATGAGGAAAACGCAGCAATGAAACGATCTTATTAACATGGGGGATGTGCAAATATCATTGTCGAAGGCCTTTTTTTTTCCAGCTGCATCTGCCTCAGTTACATAACACTACAGGAGTTGGTACCCTGTTTTCCTGAAGTGCCGAACTGGGAAAACAACTCGAGCGTAATGCATCAGCGGCGCGTGAATGAACTGGAGTTCACCTCCAACCGGAGGTAAAACCAAGACAAAATCTGGGACATTTTATCCAGCACACAGACAGTCCATGCTGGCATTTCATTCTTTTAAATTATGAGAATGACGAACAGACGCTGTATTTTATTCGTATTGCGGGTAATTTACATAAAAAATATTCGTCGAATATTCGTAGGCGAAAGAAAATCGAATTTCGAGGAATTTATCTCATGAAATTGGAATTTGAAATGTTATTGTATATACCACGCACAACTGCACTTCACCTTTGAAGGTCAAAACTGTGGCGCGGATTTTCGGAATTATAAATGCAGTATTACGGTATTTATATACAGTAAAGTATTGCAATTGTAAGAACGAGAACGCCTAGTTTGTTTCAAACTTGTTGTTACTAATTGGGCTAGTTTACTGATTTAAAAATTCATTTACTGTACTTGACATCATCAAGGAAAAGATTCCTTTTGCTGCTATTCAGCATACTTCCAACAAATTTAAATTCATTTTTGATATATTAAATCCATCAATTGCATCAAATTATTATCACAAATTCCTCTGGGATTTTCATCCTCAAACGCCACTATATTATCTCAGCTTGATGTCCTAAAATTTCGCCCGTTCTTTTCTTTTTGGGGAACAGCTATAATTGATATTCCAATGCATAAATTGTTTAATCATAAATTGACCATAGCATTCCGTTTACCTTTTTTGACAAAAATGAAAATTTTATTTTTCAAAATCAAATTCTTCAAGCTTATTTCTTGACTTTTGCAAACAGCCAAAAGCTATTGGCGAAATAAATTTCAAAAATGGTTTGAGGATGTGAATCCGAGAACTGATTCTCATCACACGGTTTGCTTCTCTGCATGATTTCAACTTTCGTATTCACTATTTTGAACATTAGATGAAGTTGGTGGATTTTGTTGGTGGAACTGCATGATCTACCTCTTCATGACGATAAGCGAAGTCGATGTATAGTATAACTGAAAGCTTCTCTGAATGTGTAAATTCCTCATTTAATAAACTTCAAAACTTGCACAAGAAAATCAACTTGTCAGTCAGTTGGAGGCATCACGGAACTGTCTCGCCTAATACCTTCTTCGATTTAATTGAAAGCTGATCTGGAATTTAAAAAGCCTGGTTCATTTAATGTTTTTTTCGGAAACTTCAGAGAACCTCTTCTTGTTAACGAATACCTTTTCAACCCTTATTTCGAAATATTGAAGTGGTTTGAATAAGGTATTCCTGAGGACATTAGTGCTGAAGTCAAGGATCCTCTTTGTAGAACAGGTGCTTAAGCCTATAATTAGTACTGCATACCTCAGATTGGACCATGTACTGAAGAGGGGTCCTAGGAATGGTTTCCTACTAGATTATCCCACATTGTTGGACCCAAAAGGATTAAACTGTCTGGTTCTTCCCCTGGAGGCTGGGATGAGGGGGTCCGTTTTTTTCTCTGTTCATTCTCTCATTGCTATAGGTACATTGGCAACCGTGCTCTGTTTTTTTGGGACATTGCATTTAATTCTGTAATATTCTATTGTCATCAATATTTTAATTCTTATAGCATGTTTGTATAACACTTCCTTCAGCCACCAACTGTAATAATTTTTTCATGATCCACTTCCAATTCCATGATGCCATTTATCACAAGGACTGTACAACACAAAGTGAATATAAAAAAGGTACACCAATAATTCAAGCACAACACAAAATAAATTTACAGAGGGTACACCAATACAACACAAAACATTTTAATTTTCCTCTTCATCAACCAGGAGTTCCATTTAAATTATATTTATCAAATGTTGCAACTGGGGCAAGGTCAAGGCGATTTTTTTTACACCAATCAAAGCAGACGTGCGCTGAAGATATGTTCTCATTGTTTGCGGATAAATAACCAAAGTGTATTCCTCATAAGTTGAATTCATTTAGGCAGCATTCAAAGAATTGGTGAACTTTGTACTTAGGCGTATTTAGTATTCCTTATATTGTATATATACCTGAGACTTGGAGGAAAGTTATGGTACCCCTTTCGAAAAGACTGTATCCTTAACTTCACGCACAATTTGAGGGGTCTTGTGGCTGGCACACATTTCTGAGGCTGGTGCCCAAATCTCCTTTCTTCTTGAATGGTCCAACCAGCTTAATCCGTCTACTGACCACAATGGAAAATGAGCTAGTGGGAAACCATTCCGGACACCCTAAAGAGGAAGCCTACGACAAATTTCTAAATGATGGTTAGCAGCTGTGATTGGTACAAGAAAAGTTTATTCAACGACATTCCATCAATAAAAGCACCGGGAATCAAAAATCGTCATATTAAAAGAAACCAGTCCAAAGCACCAATATACGAATGAATCAAACACTTCGAACACGTTTCGACGACCGGGGGAAAAATAAAAGACAGAACACGTTGAAACAGAACCAAAAATACTGAACATGCCGCAATAAATTCTTGACACAATAATAAGTTCTGCAGTTAGATCCAAGCTCAGGCATTTACAAGTCTCTGCTGAAGACATTGGCATTTTATCACGGAATTGAGCTCATTTGGAGACAGGAAACACATACAGAAAAATTGCACCTCGTGTTTTAACCGTGATTGGAAAATCAGGAACGCCGCGCTTTCAGCAACAGCAAAATATACGCGACTACGTGGAATCCCAAATACTGAGACACCAGGAAAACGATGTTGTAATTGAAATTCAATTCGTCAAAAGTGTACTTCTGTAGCACTTCTTGTCCTGTTGACAGGCAGCCTTGTTTCGTCACTGTCACGTTCCCGAAACTTCCTCCACAATCTGCAAGCATAAAGAAGAAAAAACCTTAAAATGGTAAAGCAAAAAAAATTAGTGCACTCTATAAATAGTGATTTTTAAAAAATTGCAGCATCGCCAGAATTTTTCCTGAATACCGTACTCTACCAAGATTTGTTTTTCAATTATTTTACTGCACTCTCAAAGTGTTGATATCGTCTGTTATCAATGAAAATGTCTGCCACCGATTCGGAACAAAATCGATCAATTTATTGCATGCAAGAGTCTCTATAATTAAAACGAAATACCTCAAGAATAGATCTAAGGCATTTTCCATGTTCAGTTGCAAATTTGGAAGGAATTAGGACCTCGAACACATGCTAAACGGTAATTACTCTGAACTCATGCATTAAGTGATGAATCGCAAAATTGATGTTGGTGGTGAATCGCATTGGTTATTTTTTTCCTTTATGAAAGGGAACACAACCAAAAGAGTTGAAAATTGAAGGCAAAATACATAAGGTGGGGAATTATCCCGACGCTCTTTTAAAATTTTGAGTACTTGATTCTGATCGGTTTTCCACTAAAAATTAAAATTGGCTAAAATGTAACTGTGCAACGAAGTCAGAGGATTTCCCATCACACATACAGTGCTTCAGCAAATAAGGCATTAAAGATAAGCACGAAATATGTTTTCCGTTTATAATTTTTTTTCAGAAAGTGATAATGCTATAAAACTGTACAGTATTGTACATAGAACTTGTGGATAAACTGAATAAAATGTATGACTCACCGAAAGTGCGGTTTCCACCAAACTGCGTGATCATCAGATTTTCAAAGCCGTAATGAAACCAAGAAATAACTCCAATCCATTTTATGTACGGCGACCAAGAACTGGATGAAAATCAAAACGTCCATTAGAAAAATACGCCTTTTGGAAAAAATCAAAAACGTACTTCAAGTTGAAGAAATATCCACCGAAGCTCGTCAAAATGTAGATCAGTGGATTTGCAATTGTCACGGGCAGCGCCATGTTTTGAAAAGGCGCTGAAACCATGGCACCTGCAGATTTTTTGGCACACATTTCTGCACGTCATTATTTGACAATAATAAATGGTTCATAAGTGTTTCAAGTTATTTCCTCGTTGTATTCAGGATTTTCGTTAGATGAATTGATTGATCGTAATCTTTACGGAGTAATTTTCTTGACCCTTGTTCAAAATTTTGCTCACCAAGTTTGAAATACAAATAAAATTAAGCATCTCAAAAATAAGGTTCGCTCGACGAATTTTGATGTCTTATAAATGTCTGACAAAATAATTGCTTCCAACTATTTTGATTCGTCGAAAATTGTTATTACAGTATTAAGAATGCACAAACTCATCTGCCAATCAAATTTTCTGCTCATAAACATTTTCGTTTTAGCAATACTGTATATTTGGATGCAGAGGTTGTCCATTATTTATACAGTTACTCAATAATAAGTTACATAAGTTAAGATTATAGGAATAAAATAAAATGCTCGGTTTGAACATGATCACAAAATTCATACTCAGAAACTTGCAAGATCAAAAGAAGATATTACAGAGGACATTAGTTAACGAGTTTACTATTGGTTTCAGACAAAATTTTTTAATCCAAATTTAATTTTCCCTTAGACTTCAGAGGAGAACAAAATAATAATGTTCCTGACACCCAAAATGAAGCATTTTCAGTACAACTATATAATCAGAATGAGTTACTGTACCATATCCCATGTGTGTTTGCAATATTTTTAGGGTAGGTTGAAAGTACAGGTGATAACTTGCAATTTGACCCTAATCCATTGGTGAACTGTAGGGTCAGATTGCAAAGCAGTCAAATTGCAAGACAGGATCAAATGGCATGTTTTCTACATGGCATTTGAATTTTCATGTCTCTCCACAGGTCACATTGCAAGGCAGAGTTCAAATTAAGAGTTGACCTCTCAACAAATTCAACTGTTGAATTCTTGGATATGGTTGAATTGCGGGATGGTCAAATTGCACAGTACCACTTGTACTGTACACTATTCAACTTAAAAAAAACCATTTATACAGTGTCTAATCTATGTACAAGAAAGAAAAAAAACATCATACCGAATGCAGACGCAGTATTGGCAATCAGGAGAACAGTCAATAATGTTTGCCCGAAGTAGTACAACCCTGGTCTCAAGTCGGCGATGAGATACAAGATAGTTACGTAAGTAATCGTCTCAATCACGAATCCCGGAATCTGCGGCGGTAATATCAATTCATCAACATTGCATGCCGTGTCATAACTCATAATGAGAACGAATTAATGAAAAAACCAGTATACAAACCATGAACAACGCCTTGGAAACGTAGTAAGAATGCACAGAGTAAAGGTGCGAGCGGAATTCTCGAAGGAAAACGTTGATTTGCCGCGGGAATATGTTCATGACTGCGTTTGAATTCGGGAAAGTATTGTCAGCCACGGTGAACCACATGGCGCCAGTCAATGCTTGGATCCCGGGCTGGTCCGGGGCCATGTTTGTGAACACCAATGAAGTAACCAATACCATCATCTTTACGTGCAATAATGAGAAAAAAATATATATTCAAGAGATTAAGTCAACACTATTCGTTCGACGATGACATGCGTATTTCCAAGCTCACAAATCTCTCAAACAATCTCGGTTTGTTCATGAACGTGGGATTTCCTCGTGCGTCCTGAGCAGAACGAATCATCAAAGCCCACATTTCCCACCAAAAAGGGACCGGCACCCTTCATAAAATGAAGAAAAAAGAAACTTTAAAAATTACTCTCATGAACAACATAATAAATCCAACGACTCACTTCTTGAGATTTTGAAGTTCGCTTTTGCCATATGCCTAAGTAAAAAAAAGGGCAACAAAACTTTCATGATGATTACAAAACCGCGAGAACATATATATGAAAAAGTGAAATGTTTTCACTCACCACGGTCGAACACATTTTCTCCACTGTCTTCGATCTTTTTCTGCCGTAATTAGAACTATCGAAATTATCGCAGATAGCTTGCATTTGTTCCAAGGACCTTGGAATGTCTTTCCTTTTGAGACTCAAAACCGACATGTAATGATCCGCAGGGTTGAACGTTAATGGGCACGGATAACCCTCCCTAATTAAAAAAAAGGACAATCAACGTTCGCTCACCAGGAAATACTAAAATTATTTTCTTCATGATTGCTTCTGACCAAAATTTGTGGAAGGAAGATTATTTTAAAATGCAAAAAATGTTGTATTTACATCCATGCAAGTTCGTATGCGACCGAGTTAGAATTATAATTTAATTGGGAATTAATTTTGGAGATTAGGCCGGTATTCCCATGAGTTGAAAATTCCATTGAAGTTCACACGTGTTGAAATATTTGAATCTAATGCGAGTGCATCTGCAATTTTAAAAAATTGGTTTCATTTGTTCCCAGCAATTAAAATAGGGCATAAGTCGCATAATAATTGTTGACGTGATTGTCTCCAAATATTGCAGTAAATACGGATTTGAGGAGCATAACTATATCAGGTAGACCCTCTCTACAAGAAAAATTCAAAGGTTCAGAATAAAATTCCTCAAAGAGAGGATTTCGTTGTAAAGAATCCCTATATACTGTACTGTAACATGAAAAGAGGATGGGACCAAACACAAATTCGTCATATTGTACGGATAAATCGTCGTTAACAAGATCGTTTCAGTAAGAGAGTGCACCTGTACAGTATAATAAAGCTGCAAAGAATCGAAGAATGAAAAGGACAGATGTGTCCTCAACCCGAGGCGATGAAAACCACCATGCATGTTCTGATCGATTATTTCGCGATAAAAAAGTTATATTATGCGCAAAACAGTTGCTGGTAGCCTTAAAAAGTGTGTGCGATTTAGAAATGGATTCGATGGAAAAGTCTCCTCGTATACAGTACTTTACATCAAAAAGAGGTTGAGACGTAAAACATCCGAGTGCCCATAAAAAAATTAAATTAAGATGACATGACGTACTTCTTGAAGAAATTGAGGGCGTCCTTCGGCTTGCCATGAAATGCAACACGTCCTTCGGCCAGCAACATTATCTCATCGAAGTATGAGAAAACAGAAGAAGACGGCTGATGTATGGAGCAAATGATGGTCTTCTGAACGGTTTCTCCACTGGCTGGCAATTCCCCACAATGCGTTAGTCCCCGGGAAAGGAAACTCATGCATTTCACAATTCTCTCCGCGGTCCAACTGTCCAATCCAGAGGTCGGTTCGTCGCAAAATAGAATTGGTGGATCGGTGAAAATCTGAACGAGTGTCGAAGAAAAAACACCAGTGCTGCTGTGGTTGTCAAATTTCTTTGCAAGCTCTACTACACAAAGTTTTTTATGGCGGAGTGATGATACCTGATGGTACAAAGTGTGCTGGAATTAACTTGCAAGTCTTTAAAACAAAATAAGCTTCTCATCATTACAAACTGAAGGTACGTATATTATCAGAAAAAACCCCACCCACATTAATTTAAAAATAAATTTCGGAAAAAATTGGGATTTATTAGAAATTTTCTTTATTTGATGAAGATGATTTTACAGCATTTGGTTTCGAATTTCCAACCAAGAAATATTCAAGATTATCAGCTGCTTTCTACATTCACAGTGCACAATTTCCCATGAGAAGGTTCCATGTTTTGAACGGTATTTATTATAAAAAAAAGCATTGATACAAAAATGTCTGACAATGTTTTTTCTTGAAAGCCACCCCACAGCAGCTGTACTGTATTTAATTGTAAGTCTTTTTCCTGGCCTAGTTTCTCAATATATTTTTCAATAATATGTCTAATTGCAGAGAGTGACTTTGTATTGGTACTTTTATTCTTTTCAGGCAGAATGGGATAACATTTTTTTTACAGGTGAACATTTCTAACTTAAACCTCGTAAGGTCTGTACGGTACATGAAAAACCCCTGTATGTTCAATTTTTGGTTTTCCCCGGTCTGAATTCTCTGAAGAACAGCCGGAACAGTGTAATCTAGATTTTAGATCTCCTTCACACAACCCCCCCCCCCTATTTCCTAAAATTCAATAACTTGAATTTTTTAGGTCTTTGGGTTTATTATTCTGGGGACCAAGGAAATGAAACCATGTTTTGTGAGTGACTAATTAATTAGAGAAATTGACCCTATTCCCTTCAAAGTTTAGCGTTCAGCCTGTCAACAAATTAATTCAGCAGTTTGAGGCACGGAAAAGATCACCAATTATTTTACCTTCCTGTAATATTTGGAATGTTTTGATTTTTTCACGATAAAAATGCTAGTTTCTCCAACCTGAAAAAACCCTTATATACTGTACAGTAAAAGTCGAATTTGTTATGGGTCCCTCTGCACGAGTTTGACTAAAGAAAAGTCCTACTTTATGAAAAAAAATTATTCTCTGACACACGAATACTGTGCTCAAGTTTCATCTGACTGCATGGGCGATTCTCGAAACTTTTTGGAAACCCCCTGATGCATGACCAGCCGATCGTGGCGATGGTTAGGGCCGCTGGGTTTTTCAATGGCGGGACACGGGGTTCATGCATACCTCTGTGGCAAATGCGAGACGTTTCTTTTCTCCTCCAGAAATGCCTTTTATTTTCCCGGGCACGNTTCCCTTCAAAGTTTAGCGTTCAGCCTGTCAACAAATTAATTCAGCAGTTTGAGGCACGGAAAAGATCACCAATTATTTTACCTTCCTGTAATATTTGGAATGTTTTGATTTTTTCACGATAAAAATGCTAGTTTCTCCAACCTGAAAAAACCCTTATATACTGTACAGTAAAAGTCGAATTTGTTATGGGTCCCTCTGCACGAGTTTGACTAAAGAAAAGTCCTACTTTATGAAAAAAAATTATTCTCTGACACACGGATACTGTGCTCAAGTTTCATCTGACTGCATGGGCGATTCTCGAAACTTTTTGGAAACCCCTGATGCATGACCAGCCGATCGTGGCGATGGTTAGGGCCGCTGGGTTTTTCAATGGCGGGACTCGGGGTTCATGCATACCTCTGTGGCAAATGCGAGACGTTTCTTTTCTCCTCCAGAAATGCCTTTTATTTTCCCGGGCACGCCGATGCACGTGTTTTCGCATTTCTTCAGTCCCAGCTGATCCAGAACAGCATCGATTCTGGCATTTCTTTCTCGCGCTGGGATTCTTCTTGGGAGACGCAGTCGAGCCTGAGATATTAATCAATGTTTTTCAAATATCACTGAGGTCGTAGGATACAAAATGCAAAAAATAAGAGCCTGACTCACGCTTTAAGCCTGGAATTCACACGTACTTGACGCTATCTGATTTACTGTTTATTACGCTCTATATATTGAAGCGATTTCTTGCCTAAAGCAAGAAAAACAAAATCTAACAATATACCATTCCAAAAAAATACAGGCATCACAGTGATTTTCAAGCTTCACATTTCCTCAGGAAAAAGAAGTTCCCCAACTTTCCTAACGTGTAATTTTAAAGACTTAGAAATTGTTGACATTAAAGTTCTGAACGTTAATCACCATTCATCCAAACTTCTGCCAATAATCGGTGCGCATCAATAAATATTTCTTTTGGTTAATTTAATTTTATAAAATTCGTGTACCGTTCCTTTCGTCTACGTCAATAAAAATTTCTTTTGGTTAATTGAATTTTATAAAATTCGTGTACCGTTCCTTTCGTCTACGTGTTATTGACCTTTCGCGAGCATTCATGGAAAAGCAAATCAATCCTTGAATCAATTTTTCTTCTACAGTGAAGTTAGTTATTCAGGAAAAAAAATCTGCCGGAAATTAAAGAGATACAGTTGAATCTCGAGAACTCGAACCTCCTTATTTTTTCAGATTTCAAGTCACTGTCTGAATTACCTTAGAAACAATGCCATAAAAACCTCCCGAACTCTAGGCTTCCTCCCTCGGACCTCAATATAGTACCTCGAGTTTTCTGGAGGTATTTGGGCAATTATTTTATTGACGCAGCAACGAGAAAATAAAATGAAAATGTACATTTATGTGCTTTGAATAAATTAAGTAAAAGGATGATTGGGCAAATAAAGCCGACACGCCTTCAAGTTAAGCATCCTGTCAACCGATTTAAAAAAAAAGTAGTCGAATGCACAGAATATCACAGATTTCAATTTAAATTTTTTTTCTTTCCCAAAAAATTCTTGTTTTCCTAACTCTAAGCCTTCCCAATTCGAATTTTTTCCTGGTTCTTGAAGTTCGACTTCATGAGGTTCGGCTGTATTCTCAGCTCGTGATTTGAAGAGTGAAAATGAGAACTGAGTATCGAAACACAATTACAGTACTGTAATTATTCCGATAAAAAATTATATTCGTTGTTGGTTTTTCAAGTATACTTGTAATCCTTTCAAACGACTTGAAATGGTTGAAAATAGACGTCCAAAACCAACAATGAATCTTCTTTTTTCTTTTCATTCGAATCACAGAAATTGTCCAGCATATTTCGAAACCTGAAACGATCTCGTCGGCAGCAATCTAATATCGGCAGGAAGCTTGACGTCATCGTTGTGTCTCAACGAGTTTCGATTCATATAATCAAATTCCTAATTTGTATTGTTGTTTGTTCCAGCATTTTGACACCCTGGCCCCTGGGAGTGGTTTGAATGGCTGTAGTTTCAAAGTTTTATTCTCAGGTCACGTAGTGATTGGTGCTTTCTTTCCACAAGAGAGTGCCACTCCGACGGCTCCTTTTCTAGCAGAACTATGTTTTTGGGCGAGTCCAAGGACATAGTCGTGTCCTTGGGACCCCCGACGTGAAAACGATTCACGTACACGTCGCCGTGAACCTTAAAATCCTTCGGGGCTCGCTGCCCGAGCACTTGCAGGAGAGACGTTTTACCTGCGCCGCTGGCGCCCATCAGAGCCAGCACCTTTCCGGGCTCGGCATACCCTGAAACTGCGTTACACACACCCACACGGGAACGTGAATGATGCGAAAGGGGCTCGAGAGAGAGAGAATCCCGCGGGTACTACAACAAGTTCGAAATGAAGCCCAATATTGTACCATGGATACGAGCAATATGGATTAAAATTACTATTAAAAAAAAAACCTTTAAAAATCCCATGCAACGAATAAGCAATGCCGACCTTGAAAAAAAAAGCTACGACCTTTTTATACAACGTAGTTCAAAAATTTTTGTACCAGGAATATCAAAGGAACGTATCTCTTGTTGGTCATTTTTTAGTAATCTTCGTATTTAAGTTACATTGCTTAAATATGAGGCTTTTTTCACTAATTACTCAAAAATCAAAAGATAAGCGCAAAGAGGAAATTGGGACCTGAATAAATCACTGCGTTGCAAGAAAAAAATTCTTCGCATATTCATTAATAATAAAATCATAAACCTATTTTATAGAGCACTAACGAGTAGAAATATTTGCCATAGACATAAATTCGTTATAACGAATTTATACTTAGTTTTATTACATTGGCATCCCTTTCTTTGCACGGCGAAACAAATAATTCTTGAAGAAAGCCCAAATAAGCACTCGAAATGGAATTTCAAACATTATTTGATTATGTTATACGGTGATTTAACACATGCGCCTTTTCTTTCAATTCAACATAAACCGAAAAATTTTAAAGTAATCGTTATTTCAGATAATCTGCGTCCGAACGCGGTATTTTTTTTTACCGGCGGGATTTTGTCTTGCATGGCGCGGTTTTTAGCTGCATCCAATTAAAAACAACAAAAATAAACTGAATTTACATATGTCATACGCCTCGAGTGATTAATATCACTACAAAGATAATATTCCTGAAAATATAAAGAAAGGGGGCCAGGTTTCGTATATGGAATCGAGATCAATAAAACCGTTCGTTAGGATTGTGTTTTCTGCTTCCATTCAGTTGCCAATTGATCCAACTTTCAGTTTCAGGGAGTTGGGAATAAAAGTACTTGATTCTTCCGAGGGATAAGCCCCAAATACCTATTGCCTCATTAGTCACCAAGTCATCAACTATAAAACCTGTTTGCTGAAGCCCACGAATGCGAAGGATATTAATCTCAAAATAGTAAGTCTTCGTATCCCATAAAGAATAAAAAAAAATACTGACCAGAAATTATGTAAAAAATCTCTCTAAAATGAGAGGTTTAATTTTATCCGGAGCTGTCGAAAAAGTCTGACACATGAATTGATGGCGTCTATGATCCACATGTTTGATAAAAATTACTGGTATGAACTGATCCTTGAATTTACTATACAGTACAGTATATACTGTACATCCATTTAATTTATTCGTATGCATCATCAACGTTCTTTTAAAACTAAGGATGATTTGTTTTAAAGGTAATTAAGGTAACTCGTGATGCATGAAAAATGCAGAAAACTGACACTACGTGTTAGCGTTTGAATTATTTCATCGAACCCAACCTGTTGGCGACTTTATTTCTTCGAAAATTTCTTCAACTTGACATTCGACTGATGTATCTTGTTTAAAGAAAAGCCAATTTAACACAAGAAAACAAACGGAGAACTTTCATTGGAACTTCTACAGACACTGTTTGAATAAAAGTACAGTATATACAGTAATAATTATTTATATTCAAAACGTCTTGCACTTTTCGGCCAGCAGCCAAATAACACAGATTCTTGAGGCATTGTGAATTACAGCTCATTGCCTTTTATGAAAAAGTCCCCAACACTAAAGACTTCTGTTTGAAGGACTCGAAAAGTAAAATGTGCGTCAGAATGAATGAAAGAAATGGTAATTCCGGTGTATGATGCCGGTGTATACGAGTGTATACGAGACAGTCGCCACATTGGCCGCCATTTTGGCGGCTGTGAAGGCGGCTGTTGATGAAAATGGCGGAATCGCCTTGAGTGACCTGGAGGCAACCCTTAGAAAGAATGCCAAGTTGATTTCAAAAATTCTGAGGGGAAAGCTGGGCTACAACAAAAAAACGGCGCCTCATTTTTTGAGTGGAGAGCAAAACTCTATATGGATGAATTTTGCAAAAAAATTAAAAAAAATTGTCAAACCGGGCTGATTTTTTGTGTGTGCCAAAGAATATGTTTTGGCTCGAGAATACATTTTTTTCAGCTCAATTGTATGCCATTTTCATTGCTACTCCAAGAACTTTTGTTAGGACCCTCGTATAGCTTATCGAATACTGTACTCACCTAGGCGAACAGCTTGTTTGTAATTCGGTGGGCTGACATCCTCCTTCAGTCGAACCACAGTCTTCTTCAACACCGGCACTTCGACAGTCACGTGTCGCCATGCCAGTGTTGCACTTGCAGGGACAATCTTCCAACTTTCAGTGGACGACACCGAACAAGAGTCAGATCCTTCCGACGACGAGTTGAATACATCCCCAACAACGAACGATCCGTAATCGAGCTTGCCTGCATTAAAGCTACTGGACAACAACAGGTCCTAAATATTCCAAGCAATGCATCTATGTTAATTTTTTTCTTCTCTTTTTTTCAGAAAAAAAAAGATGCAGCCACAAACGTTCGCACCTTCGCGGATTGCTCGGATTCTCCACTTTGGCGGCCGGGGGAATCTCTTTTGAGAAGTTTGTCATCTTCTTCTTGCTTCACCATGTCTCACTTATGGTACACATACACACGCTGCACGATGCGTTTGCACTAAAAATTGTAAACACCGTACAAGAGCAAAACGTCACTGAAACGGGCACATGCACTCTGATGGCCTTACTTCCGACTGTCGACCTGCTGTGTGCTTTTGAGGAATAAGTTTTCCTGGTATTATGCCAGCGCCCACCACACAAACCGGTTTCTCTAATAAATGATTGATATTTCAACGCTGATCTTATTAATCCCGCTATCGGTAACTAAATCACGGCATTTCGTACCTATAAGTGGGCCGTAACATGTCAAAAAAGTGATTTACGTTTGCACCCGGTGGCCCCAGGGAACAGGGGATTTTTTCATATAGTGAGACCCCCACATGCAGACAATTCGACGTAGGGACACTTATTTTCCCATAAAAATTAATAAAAAGGCCAGACATGATGACTCTGACTCAACATAGGGACACTTTGTGATAAAATTGCAAATGTATTTCAGGTCAAATTACGAGAAACAGATATTTCCAACCCTAAAATTGATGTAAGCAAAGTTCTTGGGCATTTCTCTCACCAATTTACCATCCATTTAGCTAAATTTAAAAAAAATTACCTCCAGCATAGAGGGACTTCCTTCTCTCTTTTTCACTTGAATGTTATTTTTACAGACAATGCCAAAATTTCTATGGACTGTACAGAGGAATCAGTATTCAATTCCTCAAATGTCCATATTGTGTTAGAATATATAGATTGAATCAGTTTAAATTGGGAGAAAACTTTTATTTTCATGTAATTATGTTGAGTATTTTGTCCATAAAACATCAATTAAAAATTCTATTACATAAGTCTAAGGTAAAATGAGACTTGACTTAGGGACATTTCAACTTAGGGACACTCTTGATGCACCAATTACGTCCTTGTCTCGGGGTCTCACTGTATTTTAACTCATGGGCGTCCTTCTTTTAACATTAAATTCGCAAAGAATTGCGATATTTTGTCTGTTCCAAGCCCTTTATAGCCAAGTTAAACGGCTTGATTTTAGTTTTCGGGTAATTCTATCGTCGTCACCATACCAATAAGTTTACTGGGCTTCAACGAGACACGCAGTACACTTTTACTGTACACTTATACAGTATTCGATCACCACGTCCACACATACTGTATGCTGTACTGCCTGTACAACAGTCTCACTTATTCGGTCGCCCTGCATATGGGCATATCAGGACGCCCAGCAGCCTCCCCCGAGGCAGAGGTAAAAGAAAACTGAATCTTTCACCAGGGCATTTGGCTTCACCAACATTTTCACGACAGACTTATAGTGTAAAACGCTAGCCAGTGGAATGGAAAGGACAGAATGCAGTAGAGATCCATTTTCCCGGCATGCTAACACAGGGAGAGAGCCAGAGCAGCTCAGCAACTGACCACTCTCTCCCTCTTTCCATCTGCTCTTTCCCACTCGGTGAGAGGATGAGAGTATTGCTGTCTTTCGCTCCTTATTCCCGCGCAACCTCTGGGTATATACATTATAAACTATATATATATATATCTTTTTTTTTTTTTTTTTAAATCAAGAATCTATTTATTTTATGCTTAGGGCGGGTGGAATATGTTTTAAAGCTACCCTCAGGGGCACCAGCAAAGAATTTTTATGATTTCTAATGAGCTGTGGGCCTGTGTGTTACTATTGGAATGGGAACATGAAGATTTGACACGGGAGACATTATTGAAGGAGTGAAATCTTGATGCAACACACTTTCGTCAATAATACAGTAAATGAAATTGTTACTCGGGGTTCCTTACAACAAAAAGATTCAGATTTTTTTTCTGAGATCAGACATGATTCTCTTTTTTGAGTAACCCTTCAAATAAGTCAACTTGGAGAGGTTCAAACTGAATGCATGAAATTTAATTTTGAAAAATTACAATACATGAAATCGAATAAATCTTGACAAGCGGTGCTGAAAATATTTTTACTAGCTTTGTGGAATTTTTTTCTGAACTTCTCCTGAAAACAGTTAACCTGTTTAGAAAATGTCGGCCATATTTTGGTTATTGACCCCAGGAAACACAGACATTGTAACTTTTTCTGGCCCAGGGAGTTACCATGGGGTTCAAGAATACGTGCTGTGAAGTATTCAGATACAGTACAGTATTCATAAACAGAATCAAAATTTTAGAGTCCCCTAAAATTTAATTCATAGAGGGATTCAATTGTGGATATTTATGAGAAATATTCCGAAAAGCTGCGCTGAACAATTTTTGAAAAGTTGAGTGGATTTTTTTCCAGATACCTGTATTCTCTGGGATAACAGCAGTTGTTGGACCAGCAACAGTCAACCTTTAATAAAATGTCAGCCATTTTCGGTTATTAACAGGGGTGAAAGAATAGGTGACGTGAAGTAGTCAGGAATTCTTATAGATAATTGAACAATTTTGAGTCCCTTCAAATTCAAATTAGAGAGTTTCAACCATGCTTATGAGAAATATTTTGACAAGTTATGCTGAAAACATTTTGACAAGTTATGCTGAAAACAGAATTTTTATGATTTCTAATGAGCTGTGGGCCTGTGTGTTACTATTGGAATGGGAACATGAAGATTTGACACGGGAGACATTATTGAAGGAGTGAAATCTTGATGCAACACACTTTCGTCAATAATAAATGAAATTGTTACTCGGGGTCCCTTTTACAACAAAAAGATTCCGATTTTTTTGACATCAGACATTATTCTCTTTTTTGAGTAACCCTTCGAAGTCAACTTGGAGAGGTTCAAACTGTATGCATGAAATTTAATTTTGAAAAATTACAATACATGAGATCGGATATATTTTGACAAGCGGTATGCTGAAAATATTTTTACTAACTTTGTGGAATTTTTTTCTGAACTTCTCCTGAAAACAGTTAACCTGTTTAGAACATGTCGGCCATATTTTGGTTATTGACCCCAGGACACACAGACATGGTAACTTTTTCTGGCCCAGGGAGTTACCATGGGGTTGAAGAATACGTGCTGTGAAGTATTCAGATACAGTATTCATAAACAGAATAAAAATTTTAGAGTCCCCTAAAATTTAATTCATAGAGGGATTCAATTGTGGATATTTATGAGAAATATTCCGAAAAACTGCGTTGAAAAAGTTTTGAAAAGTTTAGTGGCTTTTTTCCAGATACCTGTATTCTCTGGGGTAACAGCAGTTGTTGGACCAGCAACAGTCAACCTTTAATAAAATGTCAGCCATTTTCGGTTATGAACAGGGGTGAAAGAATAGGTGACGTGAAGTAGTCTGGAATTCTTATAGATAATTGAACAATTTTGAGTCCCTTCAAATTCAAATTAGAGAGTTTCAACCATGCTTATGAGAAATATTTTGACAAGTTATGCTGAAAACATTTTGACAAGTTATGCTGAAAACATTTTGACAAGTTATGCTGAAAACATTTGGACAAGTTATGCTGAAAATATTTTGAAAAGTTGGGTGGAATTTTTTTCAGAAATTCTCATGAAAACAGTTAACCTCTTTTCATATTAAAAAATGTCAGCCATTTCCGGTTATTGACCCCGGGAAACACAGACTTTGTAACTTCTCCTGGCTCAATGGGCGACCAGCAGCATGGGCCAAGTGAAAGAAATACGTGACGTAAAGTATTCACGGACACATACACCAACGCACGCGGGGCCCCTTCTATATATATTCGATCTTCCTCCTCTCCTGCTTCGTCCTCCACTGGGACATGGTTTTGGCCAACCGTGAAAAAAAAGAACAGTACCTGTGGCTCTAGATACAGGCTTATGCAAAGACAAAGACGGGTTTCACCTCCTGAATAACTGAATGAGAACCTCAGCTCCCAATTACCATCTGCTGCCTGAAAGACTCACCAAGTGACATTCCTGCTCTGCTGGGTTGAGGTAACGAACTACTTTTCAGCTTCCCAAATAACTCCAGAAAAGAGGGAAGAAATTCTGGCTTTTTGAGCATCATTGCTTTAGAAACAATATATAAAAAAAGCTCCCTAAGTTGAAGGCTTTCCTCCTCAAACATCTTTAAGTCAAATTTTCTGTGGCCTGTTGGCCGTTATTTTATTAAAAAAAGAAAGAAAAAAGAATAAAACAGAAATTCGTGTATTTTAAAGGAAGTGAAACTTAATTGGGCAAATGAACCCCTGTCTCCAAGTTCAGCAGCCTTTCAACTCATTTAAGAAGCCATTTTTTCTAAGTTTTCCAGAAAAAAGGGCTTTGTATTGCAGTTCCAACCTATAAAATTCCTGACCTCCTTAAGTCAAATTATTTTGCAGGTTCCTTGAAGTTCAACTGTTATTGCTGTGCTGTGACTGGAACTATTTTCCACCAATTGACATTTCAAGACAATCTTTTAATTCAGCACCACTACCGCAGAAAAATGCACTGTATTGTACAAAATCATTTCTGTGTTGCATCTTGCATGTCTGTCATATTGAGCAAAACTTAATCATATTTATTTGCATACATATTTTCAAAAAAGCCGTGAAAATGTATCGCCTATAAGTTTTTCATTAAAATTATTCTTAGATGCGCCTCTTTTGGCCGATTATTTTGCACTAATCTTTAAAATAAAATTCTTCAAAAGCTGCCAGAAATGATTCTGAATTTAAACTTGTATGAATTTGAATGCAGTTGGGTCAAAAACCTTTGTGTCATTGCATTCAACTTTGAAATTTTTATTAATGGTAGCATCTGAACATTTTAATTTTGAAGATTATTGCAAAATTTTTGAGACTCAAATAAGATTCTTTAGTAATATTGTTTTAAAGCAGAAAAATTTGGCAATGAAAGGAAATTAGGATGCGCATGTCACGCAGGAATAGATTGTTCATCAAATCCTCTTGTAAAAAGAAATTTTGGTGCAATTCTTACTTGTGCAAACTATGCTACTTGAGTAAATATGGTATTCATTAAGATAACTTTGTAATTTGATTTTCAAAAACAGCGAGTGTTTCTCTGCACTTCTGGTTTCCTGCAAATTTATGGATTAGAATACCGCGAATCAGACAACAGCAA